CATTCCACACCCTCGGGGTCCTGACTGCCAGGAAGTGCTTCCTGGCAGTCAGGACCCCGAGGGTGTGGAATGGGCTTCCACAAGAGGTCGTTGAGGCCCCATCGGTGCGGGTGTTCAAGGATAGGCTGGACATGCACATGGTGGGCATGTCGTGAGCGGAGCTGGCTGGTGCCGGAGATCAGACTAGATGCCCGGGAGGCCCCTTCTGACTCGCTCTGTTTCTATGTTTCTAATGTGCCATCATATGCTGATCTTACAGAAATGCACTGTATTTCTTACAGATTCTTAGAATACATATGTGTTCCTTCTTTCTCATAATAATGATAGGCATTTTGCCAATCAAAAATGTAAGCTGCTTAATATTGCAATCAGCAGGTTGCTTCATACTGACAAATACAGATTCAAGATGACTAACTAACTAGCATCTTTATTTACTGCATTCATAAGAAACATTGGGACTTCACTTTAGTGGGCAGCTGCAATGCTGCCTGAAAGGAATCTACTAAGCCAATTATAGTATTGTTTGCTTCAAGACACTTCAGTGTGGATAATCAGCCAGTATTCATCACTGTGCACCTGCAAAAACGACTAAGAACAACACTGAAATGAGTCTATACGCTGGTATAAAGCTGTTATTCTGTTGTCCATCATTTAGACTGACATAAATACAAGTCTCTGGTGATACAAGGTGCATCAGAGAAGGCAATATACTTGCTGCAGCCACTTGCTTAGTATGACACTAATCAGTAGCATATGAAAAGTACGGGGTACTTTTCAACACAAAGTCAAAAATTGCCTGTACCACCCTTAATTTCTAGTTATTGATAGGGAATACATGACAAGTGTTTATTGAAACAGGTCTAATGGCTAGGAGCCCATTATAATCAGCTGTCATACTTCATAGGAAACAAGAAGATAGGAGGAGGTACAAGAGATTGTGGTCGACTTAATGTGCTCCTTGTATAATGTGTTTTACAGCTAAAATTGCATGCAAAGCTATTTATGTTCTTTTTAAAATCCATTTGAAATATTAAGATCCCCTTAAGTTTAAGGTGACTAACAATAAAAATAATGTAAAATATGATAAAAGCAATCAAACAAAAGCCAAAGAATCAAGTAGCAAATCAGAAAATTAAAATCAATGATAGACTTTATGCAGGATATGCAGGAGGGCAGCTGCAAGTTTTCTGTTGGACGCATGCTTGTGTCACAAGCACATTCTTTGCCTGTGGTTTTCAAATTTGATAATAATCAGAGTCTCCAGGTCACATAAACTGATTGAGCTTCCTGGGTAGATCATTTCCCAACATCAATTCTCACATTTTTCTCCATGTGCTTATGCATATGCAGTTAGGTGGTGAAATAAGGACATCCACTTGTGTGCATGAAATGGAACTATATAAGGTAGCATTCATCACATGGCTTCTGCTGGCTCACAGTAAATGGACAGCTTCTTGCATGCATGAACTGGATTGTAAACTTGCTGCCAAGGCTCTGTTTCCCTTGTTTATTCAACATCTTGGTTTTTAGGTGCTTAAGAAGTGTTACTTCTTTAAACAGAGATGCACCCTGTTCCTGGTGATTAGCCTTCTAGGCCTGGAAGCTATTGATGGCATGCCTTCAGCAGGGTTCTGAAAGACCTCCATGTCTCTGAGCAGCATTTAACTTCAGGGTCCAGAAAGAACTAGATGTGCTTTAGCCTAGATAAAAACTTCAGAGAGGTTCTCTGGTTTGAAAGGATCTCAGAAGAACAGGAATATTTGTTTTTCCTTTATACTGAAACATGAAATTAAGGGACACTTTTAAATCTAAATTGGATTAATGTATTTATAACTGTAAGAGGTATGTGTTATGGAATAATGCCTGGAAGTTTATAAAATGGTATATTTCTCCAAAGGCTTTTGCTCACCCATGTGTTCTCTCTCTCTCACGCGCACGTGCACACACACACACACATCTCAAAGAGAGAGAAAATTGACCTACCATCAGCTTTTCATAGCAAATATGGTATTTGGTTTCTTTCATGATCTGAATATGTTTTGCTCTCACTCTGCATTTGAACTAATGGCTAATGGATATCAATTTGATCATTAAACCTTTGTTTTATATGGTGGCTGTCTTGCAGATGTTCAAATGAGACCAGACTCAAAACTGAAGATATGCATTGGGCATATAACTTCTGCCCTACACCATACTCTTGGACGGCACTCCTGGGACTTATTTTATACTTGGTTTTCTTTGCACCAGGTAAACAAACTTGGCACATAAGTTTTCTGATTAAAATAAATTGAGCTTATTGAATTGTTATGTTCTAGGAAGAACTTTCAATCTGGTGCAAATCTTGGGGATGTCTGTGTTCCTTCTACCCTGTGATGAGAAAATGACATGTTAACTGGCTGTACTGCATTTATTTGAGCACACTATGTCTACCTGACCCTTTTCCTTTGAAAGGTAGACAGAATCATCAGGGAAATATTTGCTTTCAGGTAACTGATACTACCAAGTTCACTCCTGATTATTTTTTTCTCACACTGGATTAAACTTAAGGCTCACACTGGATTGAAAAATTTCCTTGAATCTAACAGTATATTATCATCCACAGTAGCTGTTGATACTCTTTGCTATCCAGCTTTTCTCTGTGTAAAGCTTCTTTACTTTTTAAATATAATCCCAGTTGCTTAATACTGTTCTAGAATCAATGGTAAGTCATGGTTGTGTACCTGCTGAGGGTCCACAGTCCAACAGGGAGTCCTGCACAAGACCTCCAGGACTTGCTCCTTTTCTTCATGGAGGTTACCTGCTTTTTCACCTGCTTCTTGCTCTGACCAAGGCAAAAATGGTGGCAAGAAGGTGACATAATAGACACCACTATGCACTTGCTGCGTACTTTCTGTCAAGGAAGGAGGCAGTAGCAGTGATAAGGGGGATGAGGCACTGGAGCAGCTGGTGACAAGGATGATGAGATGGTAGCATCGCCGAGGCAGAAGGCCCATTGAAGGTGTTTTTCCAAGGATGCACCACAACCTGAAAACAACATTGATTAGGACAAACCAAAATTCCACAAAAACATGCAAGCTTTTGAGTTTACTTACTAGTCTAGGTGGTACAAAACCTTGGGACGCTATTTGTATAGATTATTTTTAATCAGTGTAACTATCAGTTTCTCTCCTCCTCTTCTAGTTCACTATTGTTTTCACCGTCTCAGTTCTCAAACTGAGCAATAAAAATATCAAAGGAGGGGGATTCAGGCCACTGTGTCCTATCACTTCTATGTAATGCTACCAGAACCCCAACTTCTATCCTTTTGCTCCAATAATTCCAAAGAGGTCTGCCTGCTACCTTGTTTTTTCTCAGTGACCTGCCTGCTTCACAATTTATTTTCATTTGTATTGCTAAAATCATCACCTCTATGTGCAAAGTGTCAATGTGTGGGAAAGCATTTTTCAGCATTAAAAAACTAAGCATTAAATCATTCAAATAATTTCATGTGCTATCTCCCTTAATCTGCTTCCTAAACCGGAGCAGTATATGCAGTACTGGCAAAATTCCCAACTCATACTCAAAAAAACTAAAGTGAAAAAACGTCATTCTCTACCCACCTCTTCCAAAATGTATTTCATAATGTAATATCTCCAGTAAGTCAAATTTGCCACTTCATTAGATCTCTGAGATGATTTCTAAACTTTTCTGTTCTGGCAGTTCCTCAACAGAGAGTTGAGAGGCAGACATTTTTTTTTTTGGAAGTCTAAGATTTATACCCACTGCTAATATTATGCTTCATATTGTGACTTTATATTAAACTAAAGTGTTCATAGCATCTTTCTGTCTACCCCTCTTTTTCCCCTCTACCTCTCATTTTTGAAGATCATTTAGTAATTTTGAATTTTCTATTTAAGTTAATTATTTGTTTTTCTAAGGAATGGGACCAATGCCTTGGACAGTAAATTCTGAAATATACCCCCTTTGGGCAAGAAGTACAGGAAATGCATGCTCCTCTGGCATAAACTGGATTTTCAATGTCCTGGTGTCACTAACATTTCTGCACACAGCTGAGTATCTGACATACTATGGTAAGAAGTGTTTTTTTACTGCCTTAAATAGTACACAGATCAACAGCAGTTTGGATGACTGAAATGGCAGCTTTTCATTTACACAGCTGTTTCTGGAAAGTTTAACTTCTTTCCATAAAGTCCTTTAAAAAGCATTTGTGTGTGTGTGTGTGTAAAGTCAAGTACAGTAGTTATACTGACTAGCATATTCCATGGTAATGTCAGAACTATCTTTTCAGAGTTTTCAATATAGAAAGTTGTGAGTTTCACAGGAGGATATGGTGGCCCTTGAAGCATAAAAAGGATATTAGAGGGATTACTGACTGTGGTGCTCTTAAAAATAGCAGCACCAGTACAGAGAAACCACAGCACCTGAGAAGCAAGGGTAGGATTTTTACTGTTCTCCATTGTGCTTCCCTATTGTTGCCACAGGGAGAATCAGCATCTGCTGTTTTGGTTCTTTCTACTTTTTACCTTCTTTACAGTAAGTTTTTAAGATGATGTGCTTGGGATATGTTTGTGGTGACAATCTGCAAAAGGACAAGGAAGCTTCTCTAAGGGCAGTTATGGTGGGGGTTTACTTGTCAGATGAAAAGAAGAACTAATAGGTATTTTATGCCTCTTCTTTGTGGTCTCAGTGTATCACACACTTGGGCTTTTGCACCTGCACAAGGCCTGATCTGGGAAACACTTCAATAGCCCAGCTCAACCCTTGCCTTCCATGGTATTTTGCATCTCTGGGGAGGTGGGGGAAGATAACCAACTGGTTATAAAGCCTTCTTTCAGAGCGGCCATGGTCCCATATCCTTAAAGGGGGTGATGGTGCAACCACCGTTAGGGGAAAAAATGTCCATTGACAAGTACCTTCTTCCCCAGGCAATATGCTTTAGACTGTGGTCAGTGATTAGATCCAGGCACTTTAGAATGAAATCAATTTTTAGAACCTTTTCAGTTTGGTTGTAGGCTTGATTTGGCCCTACCTTGGGATGGTCCATGTGGTTTATTGCCCATTAGTGGTACTAGTGTACCTTCTTCATTTGCTCCTGTAATATTTGCATGCCCAATTCAGAGTGCTAGTGCTAACGTATAAGGTCATTTATGGCTTGGTGCAACAGTAGCTGAAGATTCTTCCCATTCTCAAGCCCTGAGGTCATCATCAAAGGCTCAGTCTGAGCATTCTTACATGTTGTGGCCACTAAGAGGTAGGTAGTTTCAATAATAGTTCCTCCTTCCCTAAATGTCTACCCCAGGGAATGCTGCCTGGTACTTGATTGTCCTATGGCACCATCCAACAACCTTTTCCTGGCAGGCTTTTTAATCCCCTGTATAATTTTGCTGCATATTGTATTATTACTCTTTGCCATCCTTTAGTGCTTTGTGGTTGATGTCTGCCCTCTTTTATGAATGCCATGGTCAGGCTTCACCCTCATAAAGGTTATGGAGTGGCAGGAAGGACTCCAGTTTGTGGGATCCCACCTTTGAGGACAGGAATCTGCATGCAGTCACTGCTTTATGGCTTGTGGTTTATAGTTGTTTATCATTCAGTGGAGGGTTGGATAAACAACAGGAAGACAACAGAAAATTTAACTGTATGACTGAGAAGCCTAACATCTATTTCAACCAACAAAGCTGCTTGTTGGTGATTTGGCTCTTTTTGCTGGTGTTCGCATGAACGAATACATCTGCCCCTTACAGCTAAAAGGACTTTCCTGGTGTATGCATACTTACTTTCTTTTGCAGGAACAAGTCTCTTCATTCAGTAGCTTTGCTTTTCATGACATTTTGGTCCATACTAGCTTGCTAGGGAGGTTCCTCCACTGTTGGGAACCTTGGTTTAAATTCTGCCATTCAATATTTATCCAATAAATCTTTGACTGTGTTTTTGCATTTTGTCCTGTGAGGCAAAGAACGAACCTTGTATTAATGGTCCGTGTGTGCTCTTTTTTTTTTTTTTAATTGCAGGAGCATTCTTTCTGTATGCAGGGTTTGCTTTTGTGGGACTCCTTTTCCTCTACGGCTGTCTTCCTGAGACGAAAGGGAAAAAACTGGAGGAAATTGAAAGCTTATTCGAGAACTCGCTGTGTACATGTGGCACTTCAGATTCTGATGATGGGAGGTATATTGAATATATCCGGGTGAAGGGAAGTAATTACCATCTTTCTGACAATGATGCTTCTGATGTGGAATGATTTCCAGTTGCTGATGTATTAAATCATTTTGCAGCCTGTGCCAGGGGAGGGGAGGATGGATGGCTTGATGACGCCACTGCCCTGCCTCTGGACAGGCTCTGTTTCTGCTGTCTACATAGAAACAGTTTCCTACCCTAAACCATGTCTTGGAAAAGAATAAAATACAGCATTTTTTTTCAATTAGCTGAAGTAATAGTTTGCGAAGGGGTTATTCTGTGAGGATACAGGCGTTACAACGGGTTGTTATGCTGCTGTTTCTGAAGCCCTCAAAATTATGATGCCAGATTTAGTTGATGAAATACCATGTGGAGTTGTCCATCTTGAAAAATGCTAAAAAGAACAGCTAGTCAGAAACCAGATCAATCATAAAAGTATGGTTACCTGGCAACCGAGATTTGATACAAAAGTGCTCAGCTTCACTCAAAATAAGCAGGAGGTTTTAAAAATCTGCTGCCTGCTGCTGTCATCGTAATTTATTTAATATTATTACTTTTTTAAAGAGCAAATTAATCTTACATGCATGGAGAAGGCAGGTCTTTGCAACTTTCCTTTTTTTGTTTTCTTTCTTTAGGCATGCCTATCTTTATAAACTGAAATCTCTTTAACTCCCATTACTTCGTATGAGAAAACCTGAGAAATGTGCCTTTGTGGGTCTCCCGAGAATTACGAGAAGCGAGTGTGGGTGTTCCTAAGGCCTGGTTGATATGTGTATATAGTGATATCACAAAGGCTGCTTGAAACGCCACAGCATGGAGGCAGTTTTGTCTTGTAACTGTCCGTGTATGAAGGTGCTCCTCAGCAGATCGAAACACACTGCTTCAGCCATACCACTGCTTCCCATCTCTCGGTGTTTTGCTTTGATAAGATGAAATTTGCCAAAAGCTGGAGGCTTCCATAAAACCAGCTACATGAAACCTGTTGGTGACAAAAAAACCTCCAGGCATAACACATACACTGTTGCAGATACATTATTCGCCTTCAGCTTAGGTCACAGTCTCACCAAGTTGGGTTGCAACAGCAGCACATTGTGTGCTGGAAAGGGAGCAGGATTAAGAAGTAGGTCCCCAACAGTATGTGGAAGGCTGTTAGTCCCTGAATTCTGTCTATTGATTTCTGGAAATATATTCATGTCCTTAATAACTGAGCAGGGAAACATGTTTCTCAGAAGCTTGTGAAGACATTCCTTCTGGGATAGCATTTTGGATGTTTGCATAAAAATTCCATGGGTCTGCACACACTACGAAGAAGACTTTCAGCCCAGGCTTACCACACACTAGCTCTCCAGGAATAGCTCGACATGTTTGCTTTCAGGATCACTCAGTTATGGGCTTCTCCGGTAGCCTTCTTCAACTGAAGGCGGGGTTCAGATCCCTCCCAAGCATGGCTTTCTCTCATGGGGGCAGACGGGGTGCAGCAGCCCCCTCCCTGGAATCAGGTCATGCTCTTCTCAAAGGAGCAGCAGCTGTGCTGTACCTGCCCATCTATCTGTGCGTTCACCTTTCAAGCACATGGACAAGGCTTAGGACAGGACAGGAAGTCAGTAAATGAAAGGTGGAAGAGAAAGGTGTGTCTCCTTGAAGAATGGCAAATGGGCAGCGGCACGACAGGCTCCCAGCAGTGAATCAGACCCAGGGAGGTGGGAGTCCTGAGTTCAGCAGAGGGCTGCTGTAATTCAAACAGGACAGTGTGGACTTGGAAGGGACGGCGAGGCTGGCTTTCCGTCAGGCCCAGTCAGTGAACACCATGGCCTGTTGGACCCTTCATCTGATAACCCACAACAGCATCCTCCTCATAAAACAAATGAGCTAATAGCATGGTGGGCTTCCCTGCCCTACCACTGCAGGTCCCTCCAACTGAGTTCACTTCAGTTTAAAGCAAATCCATGAATTGTTTTTCAGCACATGAAAACACATTATGCCAGTCCTCTTCCAGTGACACTGGGTGCTGGTTGAAGTCTAGGCTCAATTCAAAGTGCTAGTACTAATATTTGCAGTCCTACCCATCTTGGGGCCAGGTTATCTGAAGGATCACCTCAACCTATATGTACCTACCTGTATCTTTGGGGTCCTGCTCTGGGAGTGCGCCTGCTCCTACCTTTCAGTATTCTGAGCCAATGAATGCAGCCACAGCAATGTTGATACATTCTTTATGTGGCTGTATTAACCCTTCTCTGTGTATTAAGCTTTTAGGGGACTTAGGACATAATTGCAGCCCCGTAGAAGGAAGAGTGTAGAGGTCCAGCAGTGTGGACAGAAGTGTGGCTACCAAAAAGCAAAGATAGCAGCAAAGCCAGAAGTTAATAATCTTTCTGTCTTAGGTCATATTAATATCTTTATGAGTTTATAAACATTTAAAAATCATCTTGAGAATATATGTATCATTTTTACGTCCATACTGTAGGAGGCAAAGCTTGTTATTCAAGGTCTGCAAAATAACCTAGTGTTGTTGTTCCCACTTTGCACAGGTGTGCATGTTAGAATAGTGTATGCCGACTCTACGGCAAAATCCAGAGTTACTGATATTTTGGGGCTGTGAAACTGACTGTTGAACAGGTTGTTGTGATACAGATATAATTGTGGCTGTACACAATTGTGTACAGATATATGTATATATCTTTAAGCGAACTTGCCATTTTTAGCTCCTCCAGGATGCCCCAGTGGCCCCCTCCCCATCTCTCTCTTGCCATTAGCCGTGGAGTGGAAACAGTATGCCATGCATCTCTATGTGTTGTAGACATAAAGGACCTTCATGTAAACGTATTTTGTGCTGCCTGTACAGTGGAGCATAGCGTTTGGCTGCAAGCTGAGCAGGTCAGCTCTCACGCCAAACGTTAGCCATGCTCTTCAGCAGCCTTTGTACCCAGGAGCTGCTTCAGGGGCAAAAGGGGGTCATGGAAACAACTGTGGATGGAAACAACAGAGGGGTAGCCCTGGTGCTCAGATTTCTCAGAAGCCAAATCTATCAGACTTGGCAGACTTGGTGCGCAAGGCCTTATTGTTGCTCAGCCACCAGAGCCAGGGCTGTTTTGTGATGCTACGAGGGCTTTTTTAAAAACATGTACTACCATAGACAAAAGGTACCATTTAAGGCAAAAATATGCCGATCTAAAGAACATTGCTGTAGTTCAGAATCTAAGCCATTCCATGGTTGCATTGTTAGCTGATGTAAAAAGTGACTGATAACAGTGTGGAAAGTTGTCATGCTGTGTTTTTTCAAACCTGCTTTTCAGTGAGGGTTGGTTGGTTGGTTTGGTTGCCTGGTGGAACTGCAACACTATTGAGGCTTGTCAGGGGTCCTATGCTTTAAGGATTTTCTGTTCACAGGTCCTGCCTGTTTTATTGTTTCCTGTTGATTCTGACTGGTGGATTGGCAATGAATTGTTTCAGTTAGTTGGCTCCAATGTGAGTTTTGGTTTCCATGAATTAGGGGGTTGGCAGAGAGAAGGTGTTAATTACTGGCTTCTTTGCAGTATCTTTTCCTTGCTACTTTGTACAGTGAAATAGTGCTATTTGACTATTTTTTCAATAAAATAAAAGCTTTGCAGAAATTGCTTCTTACAGTATTTTGGCATTTTTGCATTAAGATGTTTACCCCTAATCCCCCTACTAAGGACAGAAACAGCTGCCCCTGCCCCCTCATTTTTACCTTAGAGTTGGTGCAAGGCCTCAGCCATTAAAAGACCCCCTTAGTTTCCCATACTACAGTCCTGATGCTGCTCTAGAATAAAAAGGGGGAGTGTACATTGGTAGATTGCAATGTTAAGTCATTTCCGTTTGGTCCTTAGAGTACCTGTGATCCAGAAACAGTTTGTTAACCATGGAAAGTACCTTTTTAGTGAAAACTTATGCATGAGTCAGGTTACAGAAAGCTTTTGCTTACGGAGAAAGGCATTGCTAGATAATACTCTGAGGACCCTGCACTTCCAGCTAATCACAGGAGAGTAAAACTAAAAAGCTCTTGTTTGGAAATAACCAATGATCATGAAATACTGTGAACAGTAAAGCTCTAGTATGTTATAGTTGTGTGCCTAAGAGAAAGTGACTGCATATGTGCCTAGGTTAGGGGCTTTAGCTGTTGCCTTGGTAACTGCACAAATCAAAGTTTTTAATCATACCAGCAACCTCTCCTTCTGCTGAGTATGTGCCTTTTCTCATTTTCCCACTGCTAGTTCAGCTTCCTTTGAACAATATTTGGCTCGACAGCTTTCAGAATCAAAAAGGATAATATTGTCAAACTAATGTATACGTTATGATTACCTCTGAATAATGGCGAGCCCCACCACCCATGCAAAGGTATCTACCTTTGCATATCCTCCTTTATGCTGGAAAAAAAGAACAGTTCACCCACTGGTAAATAGGTTTTCTTCAGCAGAGGTCATTTTGAAAGGTGAATGAACGTTGTTCACTTGTTTATTTTTGCCAGAATTCTGCCTCCTTTTAACTTGGAAGAATAACATAGTCCTAAAAATCAAAATAGCCCCAAGCTATAGTGTTTTCTAACTCCATTGGGTAAATAATTATAATGGATGTTAATATAGATTTAAGTAAACATTTACTAGCTCTGTTTTGGTTGTTGCTGCTCTTATTGTTTGGAACCCATAACTTGAAATAATGATCCATATGTGGCCGGAGCTCTGAACCTTATTGGCTGACAAACATATCTGGAATGTTGTCCTTGTGAGTGTTCTGATAAAATGGCCACTATGTGGAGCTTGCTCATTCAGAAAGTAGCTGCCATAGCAGACATAGTAAGTGATGAACTACCCATCTTCCAAAGTGATGAAACCAAAAGAAAAATTAACATGCCATGAACCTAATAAAAGGGAGGTGTGTGGACTGAGTTCCAAGACAGAACCCGGATTTTTCTGCTTGGGCATTCATTTTGTTGAAGGCAACCTGATAAGCAAGTGACCTGACCGAGGAACTGAGGTCAAGAGTCCACATTCTACAGGCAAAATCACCTGTTTGACCACACAAAGCACAACAAAATACTTCACAAAAGGAAACTGGCAGTGCTCTGAGAAACATGCACACACAGGAAAAACACACACCACACTAAAGCAAGCAGACAAGCCAGCTAGCACACACCAAAGAACCAAGCCAGCCAAACTGACACATACACACACTCTGCCATGCTCTCGCATCCCTTCCCTACGGCTCCACCTCTTAGCCCTCCAGGATACTTCTAACTCTTTTTTGCTTTGTTATGGCTGGTTGAAGATGCTTCACGTGAAGTGCTGGAGTCTACCACCCATCTCACCATTTTTCTTCTTTTAAGAAGCCTCTCCTGCCCACTGGGACCCAGGGACATTCTTGTTAATAGAAATGCTATGTGAGGCCTGTGGGCTGCTTTGCAACTCATCAGCATCCTAGTTAAGGCAAAACCAAGGTCAATAATTAAATAAACTTTTAAAATGAAGAAAAACCATCATGAGAAGCAAGAGCTAGGAGGGCACCCATAGAAAAATGAGTATTAAGCTGGACGGGTATATCTGATAAGGGACATTTTCCAAATGTACCAACTAGCCAGCATTTCTGACTGTTCTGCATCATCCTTCATGTGCAGGTTCTTGTATCCTAATGCCCAGTCCTTTGCCCCTTGCCCATCTTGCAGCTGAACAAGCTAGAAATGAGGAACTACAGCTCCTTGTCACATCCGAACATAGACCCTAGCTTCTTGTCGCTCACCTAATAAAGCAGGAATGAGAAGCAAACTTCAAACCTTGGCTTCAGCCACTGTCTGGGTGCAAATGCCCTGCTCAGCTTGTAATGAGCTGTTTTACTTCATGACAGGTGCAGGTTGCATATCCAAACCTGCTCTGGGATTGTGTTGTGCCAACCCAGCAAGCATGACTTAGGCCAGGATGTTCTTTTTTTTAAAGCTCACATAAGGTGAAAATAGGCCATGGGTTATGTGAGGGTTGCTGAGGGTTGCCTAAGCCTTGTGAAAGCCGAGCTGACCAGGTTCGCATGACATGGCAGCCCTCAAACAGGGGTTGCATATTTAAAATGGCAGCCTCAAGGGGGATACTTAATCCACTGTGGGCTGTTGCATTTTTTGTACAGTCCCTCTCGTTTGCTAGGATTGCAAGAAACCAAGAATCTGGCCTCTGACATTACAGTGATTTTTTCCTCATTAGTTTGCCTGATGCAAGGAGACAAATGCATGGCAGCAGGGAGCTCAGGCAGTGTGGAGCAACACAGTGCTCAGAAATTCTGGTTTTTATGTCTGAAAGCGGCCTGTCTGAACATTTTTTCTTTTGTTGTATGTATGCATGTATGTTCTCAGCTGGGCGATGTTGCTTCAGTTGCTAGAATATGAATGTGGAATTAAAGGAATGACCGGAATGTTTTTAATCTTAATTCAATGCAGTTGGATGTAGAATTACTCTTAAGAACCCCATTATGACTAAAATGTAATTATAGCATATGTGTTCATTTCCATAGGTTGGGACTGTGAACCACTCCGGACATTAGTTTTTAAAACATAAAATGTGAAGTTTGCTTTTCCCTTGTAATATGATGTTTTGTCTGCTGGAAGGGAAGAACATAAACTTGTTGCCACACCTAGACAAAATCCATCTCCCTATGCGACTGATTTATGACTGCCTCCATTGCAGAGTATTACAGTGGAAGCCTGGAAAGAGAAATTTCTACTTTCTTTAGTGCTGCTTATAAACTTAAATTATAAAAGCCATAAGAACTGCCCCAAAAATTGCTCCATATAATGACTTTTCTTCCCCTGGCTCTTTCTCTTACCATCCAAATGCCTTTTTAACTTTGAGAATACAACCAGAGAAGTGCTGAAAAAGCTGTCAAAACTGGGGAAGCATATATAATGTTTCGGGAAGGTTCACAATTTATAGCAGCTCTCTTCTCTTCACAGGATGTTTTGACTTTCCCATTCAAATTGTCTGTCTGTGGTTCCACCAAATATACAGTGTTGCCTTAAATGGGTTTAGTCTCTTCCTGCCTTTAAAAACAAAGTCAGGAAAAGTAAATAAACCAAACCTTTTATGACGAAACTGGTTTCTGTCTTGCCTAAAGTTCCTCTTAGTTTAGATAAAATGCAAGCATAATTCCCAAACATGTTGTTGTTCCTGCGACTGAGTCCAGTAATACCCATGTGCCAAGCTATGTGCTGCCTTCAGTAGGGACAGTCCTTAAATATACCTTCACTGGTTTGCCTGCCTAAAGCCTTAATCTAAGAAAAAGCCTCCAGCTTGAGTGTTCAAGGTAAACATGAGGTCATTCCTAACTGATCTCAGTACTTTGCAGGCTTACTTACAGTCAGGAGGAGTATGGATGCTTTACTGGTGATTCCTCTCTCTTCTGCTGGAGTTACCTACTGAGGAATAACAATAATTACTGAGAGCTTGCCTGATTTAATGAAAGGATGATCGCTTTGACAAAACCTTGCAACAACCCAGTGTGCTGAGCTTTGCAAGCTATGATCCAATTTATACAAACTTTCTGCTTAGGCCTTTATCAACGGGAAAACCATTAGCCACAGTTCTAGTTCCTTGACATTCTCTTAAATGGCATTCAGCCATGCACCACTCTTTTTCCGAAGCTTCTTAGCTTTATCTTGGTATGGAGTACATTTTTTTTAAAGTCAGCTGTGACATTTCCCCAGCCTCTACCTTTTAGAAGGTGAGAGCAGAGCATTTCAGCTTACTAACGACAGCACAAAACCTGCAGCCACCTTTCTCGATCCCTTTGTTTTTCTTCTGGACATTCTTGTTTAAGTCTTCCTTTCAATATTGCTTTATGCGCTAATCCTGCCTTAGTCACAGTACCAAGAATTATTTATAATAAAGCTTAATTAAATTAATACTTGAAGTAAGTCCTACAAAATTGGGTTTTATTTTTAGAATCTGTGAATTGTTATAATGAAAAATAAAGATGAAATATTTATATTTTGCAGCAGATTTTTGTTTATATTTTTTGCATATATTAATTTTAAGAGGACTATGTTAGAGGCCTAGATTTAGTATTCCAGATACAATTATTTAATTAGAATGTATCGGATTACTTTGTTATACCAGGAATTTTATTTTTAATAAAACATGAATAACATGCTCCAGCACAACCCTTAGTGAGCCTTTCTAAGTAAAGCATACCAATTTCCAGTGGTCTGTAGGTTGTATCCAAAATAATTGAAGTCCCATTCATTTCAATGGGCCTACTCTAAGTAGGGTTAACATTGGATACAACCCCGTGTTTAATGGTTTCAGGTGGTGTGCCATTTTCTTAAACAGAATTTGACAAAACTGAAATACATCAGAGTAATCCATTGCTACTAATCCATTGTTTCAGTCTAGCAAGAGCAATCTGCAGGTGGAAGCAGGCTTCTTCAGAAAAATCTGCTTGGTGGATCAGGTTGTCTCTGTGCAGGAAGGTGCCGAGCAACTTCCAAGCCACGTGCAGAGTTGTGTGTGCAGCGTTCCGTAGCATAATAGAAGAGCATTTCAGATAGGACAGGTGACGTCTTGTGATGGTGAGGCGAAGGCTAGCCCCTATCCCCGCCCTCGGATGGTCCATCAAAGTTTCCTATGCTGGCTGCCTGGGTCATACATGTGTGTTCCCAGATTTCCCCACATAAGCCACTTTAGGCTAATGAGCATGTCGGACACATCAGACATAGCACATGCTTGCTACAAAGTCATTGCTCCTTAATTCTGCCTCCCCTCCCCCTTAGCATATAAAAATTCTGTTTTTGTTAGCAGCTGGAGCAGATTTAAATACTATCTTTAAGTTTCTTGGATATTTTTTACAATTAATTTGTAAAACATGATTAAATAGAGTAAGTCCTTTAGGGATTTCATAAAAATCTGTAGCCGTGCTTGTCAAATCTGCACTGTGCTTCATTTTTTCCTGTAAAATATACTATTCTGTGAATTTCAGTGAAAGCAGCATTATAAACCTCATGAGAACAGGATGCTTTAAGTGGAATTTATTTTGAAAAATATTCATATTAGGAATTGGAAGTCACTGTGGTTTTAGGTCTAAGAACCTTGGGGAAACACCAGCCACACTATTTTCATCTCTACCCACCATAAATACAGACAAGATGTTGTAATTATGCTTACGGTAAAAACATTAACATCCAGAGAATCCATCTGGATTAGTGGGTAGCATACAAATCTGGAAGGAAGGAAGGAAGGAAGGAAGGAAGGAAGGAAGGAAGGAAGGAAGGAAGGTGCACTAGAGGGATTTGAAATGTAAATAAACTAACCAAAATAGTTAAACCTTCTTTCTATAAATGTAAACTATTGCTAGGACCCTTCAGGAAGCACAAGGACCTTCTCAGGCATGGATTAGCTCTCTAGTATAGTAAAACAAAGAGAGTTTGAATGCTTAAATGAAAGCTTTAAATCTAGAAATTTGCTGACATTATATGGGCCAGAATTGCCAAGCAATGAATGTACAAGTCAGCATTGTGCACCTATATTACCTGAAATGGCCTAAAATGTTTTGTTTAAAGCCAAGATCACACTAAAATTGCAGAACTGGAAGGATTTGAAAGTGAACTCTACCATTTCAAACAAGCAAGCAAGCAAACCCTATCCAAGGAAGCCAGAATTCCCCTCCAAAATTTGACCCAGCTTGTGATTTGCTGGGTTCTGCTTTTCCTTCTGTCACTGCTCCTGCCCCTGCCCCTTTTCTGAAACCTTCCTGGTGAGGTGAGTGGAGCACTTGTGTCAGGATGTATCCATGGGCCCATCTCAGTGTATTTGATGAAAATTTCTGAGCACGCTTTGACACATCCACAGCAGCTAGGAACCCTCAGATCCAGGCTTTTTAACATCCCATGGCTCATTCCATTCAGGCTAGGCAAACTAAGACTACAGTTCCTGGGATTCCAAATTTTTCATAGACGCTTTCAAGCATGTTCCTCCATCTCCATTGTGTCCCCAGTAACAACAGAGATTTTATCTGTCATCTCCTGCCTTATGCTGTTTGTAGGTTCCTAATTCCCCTGTCTTAGCTCAAAGTAAGTTGTTGTTCCCTGAAATAGCTTTAGAAATGGGAATGGTTTTAATTTTAGGTCCAGGACAGTTGAGCACAGTGGCAGGGATGTCTGTCCAGGACTAGTCCAAACTGGATAATCCAAGAATCACTCTTTCATTTGACTAGAGTTCACTTTGGTTGCATTCCAGGGAAGTGCCCCCACCAACCCCATGTTCTTGCACAGCTTCCATTTGAGTTAAGGAACCTGAGCAGGAGAGTATTGTGCTTGTGCTTGTTGTTTAGAAATAGTTTGTAGGTTGTTTTAAAACGTTTAGCAGGGATTTATAATGTGTGAATGAAAGACTCTCTGGTCCCCAGTGACTGCCACCTGGATTGCTCTTTCTGGTCTGCTACCATCAACAGACCAACATTGATTGCAGAAGTTCAGGGGCAATGTTTCCACCACCCATCACCATCACAGACCAGTGGGGGGAAATAGATGGGGTCCAGGAAGCTTTAGGGACTACAGTGGCCAAAGGCTGCTTGTAGCCTCAGGGTCGCAGATTGTGCGTGCCTGATGAAACATAAGAGAAGATGCGATGAAAACAGTGCTTCAGAAATTAGACACTGTGTATTATAAAGGTATTTTAATATGAAGATAAAAGAACTGAGATGCACTTTAACACTAACATGTCTTTGTGCATTTTTATTTTGCCTCTGTTCTGGAAATGTATTAGGCCAGAGGCAGTGAGGCTACAATATATGTTTTACAGTAAAAACAAAACAAAAAAGAGTGTTATTGCGGGTAACTTTTACAGCTTAAATGTAGCTACTGACCATAAAATGATTCTGAATTGTTCTTCAGATTTTTCTATAGAACTTCATAGCCTTCTGTAAAGTACCATTTGGCATAATTTACAGAATGGTGTGTGTTGCAGCATGCTTTAAAAGGAGGAAATCAGCAAAATATATACTTCTTGGTGAACAAAGTTCTGGTACTGCTGAATGAATTCTTTAAAAGTATTTATGTAGATTTTAAAACTCAGAAAAAATATTGGGCAGTTATCTATTTTGTGTATTTTCACATAGAGAAAGAATTTTTAATGTGCCAATAATCATCACTGTGGTGTTTTTGTAATCAAGTGGAAATGTTGTTCAGAAGTACTGTATATGAAAATATTTTAGCCACCAAATTTGTTAGTCAGTTTCAAAACACATTTCTTGTTCTGATGCAAAGGCAGTAAGATCAGTGTAAGAAACTGGTTTCTATAAATCTTTTTGTATGTAATAATTATAAACTATATTACACTAAAGAACAGGGCATGTGTAATGATGAAGCTCTATCTATCTATCTATCTATCTATCTATCTATCTATCTATCTAATGTTGGCATACATGTTTTCTTTGGGGTCTTTTTTCTATATTGGAGTTTGAAATTTTATTCATTTTATGTAACATACCAAAGGCATTGAGACATTGCACATTAGCTGTACAAAGTTGTCTACTTTGATAGTCAAAGTTGTCTACTTTGTTGTTCACTGCCCGGAGATCTTTGGCTATAGGCTGGTATGGAAGTTACAAAATTAAATAAACACATAAATAATTATTTTGTGTAACATCTGTATTGGAGCATCAGTCCTGCAAAGTGTCTAAGCTGCTTTAAAAAAAACACAGTTCCTTGCCCATGACAGGGTTCATGTCAGGGAAAGGGATCATATTCCTTTTCTTGGAAAAAATGTACTCATACTTAACCACCCACCCTTCTAGCAGTCTGAAGTGGCTGGTCCAGTGGCTCCTGTTTTGCTATGCCATGATCTTCTGGTTTTCCTTGGAGGTGATTCTGGCAGAGAGCTTTCCATGTGAAACCAAGATGGTGATGGAACCAACCACCTCCAAAAGACAAGCATGGGTGGGTGGAGTCCTCAGCCATCCCTTTCCTCAGCATTTCACACTTGTCATTTTGCTTCTCAACCAACCAAGCCTATAATGTATAAAAAGTGGTGTACATTTTATGAAAATGTAGTGATAAAAAGTTGAATGTTTTTATGTTTCAATTGCTTCACTGAAAGTTCAGTCTCTCTATGTAAAAATAAATATCTTTTAAAAATTGTCTGACAATTGTAAATGAACAAAATAAAAGGCAGTTGATTACAGACTTTTTCTTGGGTTTTGTTTTTATTGTAAAGCATATGGTTAAGGTACTGTCAAGAAGCCACAAAGAAAAGAAACCTAATATTGGCAGATTATGAAACTACATGTATAATGCACACATAACCAACACACATTTATTTCTCACACATTGTAATAGCAATCTGAAAATGCTGAAAGATATGCTGCTGGTCTTTCTTAGGGATGAAGCACAACAGGCCAAGTTGTTATATAATGTCTGTCAGTTGAATACATTGGCATTAACTTCACAAAGAGAGCTTTATAGTATGGCAAGCAAATACTGTGTGTGTAGTTCTTGAATTCCAAGCAGAAAGTAAAGTGATCTAACCTGTTGAATATTGCCCACCTTGGCAGGCACTTGACATTTAACACCATATCTATTCCAGTAATGAAGCAATAAAAAAGAGAGTGGCATTCTAGAATATGCATACAAAGGTGCCAGAGATCCAGTGGCTGGCCCAGTTAACTTTTGTATACACATTCTTTGTCATACAACCATAGAAAACCATTGTGAGCATGTACAGGAATTAAAAGACTTTCTAAAGAACTGAAAAAGGAAATAATTAGATTAGAAATGCAAACTAAATACATAAATCTGTACTTCAAAAATGAAAAATATACTAATTCAGCATCTATTTAGTCATGCTGGAACCACCCCTAATTTTAGTCATACATCAAGTTACAGTTTCACAAGGGCCTCAAGGGTAACCAGAATAAGGCATACTTCTACAGGGAGGGAGCGAGAAATCCTAAACCTGTGTTCCTTGTTTGTCATATAAATAATCCCAAGTCTTTCTGGCAGCAACTGACTTTTGACCTGTAGCAGCCCAGTTTTCAGTCTGGAGTGCACTGCAACATTTCTTGTCCCCCTCTTTACCATCACTCACTCCCATTATCAGACATTTAGGTTGATCTTCCTAAACTGTCGAGTACTTCTGACAGTATCTGTGACCTCTCTGAGACAGCTTTCTCCAACCTGGTGCCTTCCAGCTATTTTGGACTTCAATTCCCACTAGCCCCAGTCAGCATGGCCACTGGTCAGGAATCCTGGGAGTTGCAATATTAACCTGGGGGCACCAGATTGAGGAAGGCTGTTTTGAGACATCAGAGGTTGAACCTGCAGCAACCCAAGGGGTTGTTAGGAGTTAAACACTTGAAGAATATCACTGTAAGAGGGACCTTGCAAATCAAAGAAATCTCTGCATAACCCCCCCACACATACACAACATGCACACACACAGCCACTGTTAACTTGTTACCACCATTGCTATTAAAAGCTTTCTTCTATGGCAGGGGATATGTGTTGAAAGTTAACAGTTATGCTAAACTTAGAAATGCCCATACAGTGTAGCTTTTTAAAAAATATTTTCAAAACAGGTGATCTAGAATTCTGTTTCTTAAAATTTTTATTTTGATTATTTTTCCACTTAGACCCAGAAGCCAAATTAAAAAATGTTTATTGTAAGGCAAGATGTAGGAAAGAGTGAACATGATGGTTTGGAAAGAGCTTTAGGGGGATGACATTTCTTACAGAATCCAGATTTTACTTCACTTACCCTCAGCTGCTCCAGGTCCATTGCCATAAAAAGTGTGTGTGTGGGGGGGGGGGATCTTTTTAAAAAGTAAAAGGTTGTAGCAAGTGGATACAAGCAAAACTAGCATACATATATAAAAGTAAAACTGAAGAGAAGTGATCCCATGGTAGATGTTAAGTGGTGTCAAGATCCAAAGACTTAGGGATCCAAAGAAAGGACCTGCCTTGTAAAATATTCTTTATACTTCCCTTATTTTTGAATAAGGTTGGCTGTGGAGAATGGAGAAGTATTCCTTGAAGGTGTTGAGGCCAAATATTCTTTGGGTTGGCAGTAAGTTGTCATACTTAGGCTTTTTAAAAAATAAACATTAGCCACTATATCTAACCACAACCTAAACCTGATGATGAACCTGATGCTTGTGTGGGGGAGAAAAGATGCAAGCACACACACTGAATTTATTGGTATTTCCTGTTCTGTCTTGGGGCCCCTGTGCGATTGTGCCTAATGAGTTGACGAGAGAGGACCAAAGGGGAGCAAACTGCAATGTGTAGAGCATCAAAGCAAAGTCACAAATCCAGACTGGTGCACCTGCTGCTTGCTTATTACTGCGAAAAGCCTGTGTAGTTAAAGATAACATAAAAGTAACCACAACCAAGTAAGCAATTTTCTTATAATCTAGAGAGAAAGATGGCTTATGCCCCCTGCCTGATAGCTTTTAAATAAAGCTTCCCAGTTTGTCAGAAATTGTTACTGTGTATCAGATTCACTGGGAAAATGTGAAAGCTTTAGATCAAGAGATGGGGAAGCTAGAATGGGATTGCCCAATATTCTTGTATCACTTCCTCATTTTGCCTGTAATTATTGTACTCTATTGGCTGCATTCCATAGCAAGTTGGCTTAAAAAAAGCATTCCTGTATTTGAATATACTAGAGTAAAGTAAAGAAGTATCTGAGCAGAATGCTTCTGCTGGAAAAAAATCCATATCTGTTTGGAAGATTAATCTGGCTGCTGGCTGGACACAGAAGAGGCAGAGTCACTGGGCTCAGGTCTCCTAGGAAACGACTGCTGGATTTGCTGTCGCTTTTATACAGTCTGTAAAGGTGGAATCTCTGAAAATATGAGAGAGGCAAGCTGGTGACTCTTGCAGTGGAAAGTCACAAATACAGCTGCCACAATTGTTGGATTCTGGGTGTTTCTCGTCCTTCCTCAAAGCAGTATGACTGGCTAAAAATTGTTACTTTGCACTTTTTGCCTCTTGCAAAGAACTCCAGGTGGTTCACATAGTCCTCCTCAACTCCATTTTGTCCTCACAAAGACAACCCTGTGAGATAGGTTAGGCTGAGAGTCCACGACTGGCCCAAAACTACCCAGTGTGATTCCTGGATGAGGATGGATGAAAAGTCAGATGTCCAGTAGTCCGACATGCGAACCACCACACCACACTGGGTGTGGCGTGCTGTTGTTTTTGAAGTCACTGCCCTAACCATTTTGTTTTATATTGTGATCACTTGGATCACTTTACATATTACCCAGTGGTAAACATGTGAACTGCCATGTGTATTTTTGTGGCACAGAGCTAGTTTATCACAGCTAACTGCCAATATAGTAAATTGCCTTCACAGACAACAGTGCAAGTCTTAGGACACAGTCACATCAGAAATGAAGTCAAAGACACACACACAGCTGAAATGTTTAAATAATGGATCTGGACCAGTTGATGTTGCCAGAGTGGCATCACTGGAGCCCTGCTGCACTCTCCAAGGGATTCCCATACTGCTCCAGGAATGCCTGTTGCAAGGAGCCACATGGGGTGAGGTTCTAATACAATTGCTTTTTCACACCATTGTTACAGGGTTTTTTTAGATTTCTTTACTTACTTTTACACATTTCAAAGGTACCAAGGGACCTTCCACGTATGTTCCATTCCTTCCAAATGCAGGCAGTCTCACAAAAAGTTAATAATTATTACAACTGCTGAATTACAATTGCAACAAAATGGAAAGCAAAAGATTGTCCAACTAGTGAAGATTGGTCATGGTTATGTTGACAAGAAGGTAACAATGTTAGATTGGGGAATGATTGATTCCTTTCTTCTAGTACTGGAACTATGAAAATTATGCAACAGTGAAGCAAAAATCACACAAAACTGGTGGTAAAAAACTGGATCCTGAGAAGAAGATGTTACAAAGAATCATGCGGAGTCCTCCTCCATGGCTGGACCACTTCAGATTGGTAGTAACAGATACTATGTTCCAGAAGGAAGGCACTGATAACAAAAAAAGGTAGGGAAGGAGATGAGTGTTTCATTTATTGAAAAGCACAGTGTTGTGTTTTTGTGTGTACTCCTAGACAGCTCTGAAGAAATGTAAAATGTAGTTTGAAGCCTGTTGGGCTAATGAAATATCATTTGTTCTTCCTTGAGATTTATCCTACCGCCTTTTCTAGATACTATGTTCCAGAAGGGGAATTAACAGTATCATACTTTTTTGATTAATTTTATGGAACATTGCTATAAAAATAAATATCAAAATGTAAATACTAAAACTTAAAATACTGAACTCTCTGTGTTCAGCGTAAGGAAAATATAACATATTTGCACAACGAAGCAAGAGTTTTATTTTGTATGTATACCTTTTCATGGAAATCACAAACAGTATTATTACATTGTGTGAACTGACTTTTTTTGGAAAGGGTTTGTAACTGATGTTTGAAGGTGACCAACACAGGTAACAAAGAACCTGTGTGAAATATCTCCAGAAAATCCAATCATTTCATAAGTAAATTGGGTTTCAGAAATGGTTATTTAGTTAGGTGCTTTCTGCTGGGGAAGCATTGCATATACACATGACTGGACTTTTCCTTGATCTTTTCACTGGTTGCCTACACTCCACACCTGGGTGTTCTGCTGATTCTTGTTCTTGGAAATAACAAGGTTAAATCTTATATTGCATCTCCTTCCACTGGCAACTGGTACCCGTGTGATCTAGAGGCAGCATGATTTTCAGGAGCTTGAACTGTATGTGCCTCTGGATGCTTCTGTCCAGATGGCTTCTGGCACTTTTAATCAAAAGGAATTCCATCTGTTTCTCCTTAACTTTTTCCTAGTATGAAAATAAAGATGGAAGTGGTAATAAAACACAGGAGGGTTGTCAGTGGAAGGCAGTGATGTCGGGACACCCTGATGCCCAGTAAAATCCCATGTGAAACAAGAAAAAAGCTTCCTATGGAAGCATCCTCATTGTCATTGTATAGGATGCAAAATGGGTATTTGCTGTAATAGATGAACATTCTATATTGCTGAGTTGCTACTTAAAACGTCTGTTTTTTTTTAAGAAACAACATAATGAACTGTAAAATGTACAGTCAGTATGTGCTTACACCCCCATGTTCTTCCAATTTCTGTTTGTGATGCTGTGCTGTTAAAAGCAGCCTCTTGTTTCCATGCCCCCCTGCTTGGAATTGCAATACTAAGTATCCCTTATTAAATATGATCAAGGATGACGCACTGCGGGATAAATGTTCACACTTTAGAGATTCACATAAATATACTTCTTGGTATTAAAAGCACTATGTTATCATGGAGGGAAATTTCAAGAGAGCTGCTTATGCTCATTAATCGAGAATATAGCAAGGTAAAAAGAGAAATCTGTTTTAACATGCATGTTTGGACTTAGACGGCTTCCCGAAAACAGCTTGCTCCTGTGACAGAATGCACAGAGAAGGTCCTAATCTTTGGCCTTGCAACATTGTTAGCTTGTAAGACATCTTCAGAGGGGCTTTCATTTCACTGGCTTACCACTTCAAATAATCCCACTGAAGTCAGTGTAAAAATAGTCATCCTTTTACCCCAGCTCCTTGGCATTTCTGCATGGCTCTGCACTCCTAAGTTACAAAGAATAACCATTCATTCATTCATTCATTCATTCATTTATTTGAACATTTCTATGCCGCCCCTTGCCGAAGCCTCGGGGCGGCTTACAACTAAGCAGCAGCAGCAGTCTAGTGGGGCCTTCCTTTTTCTGTCCCTTTTTGCTACCTGCTTATCTGCTCCTCGGAATGGGTTCAATATTATTGGCAGCTTGATCTGAGATCTAGGCAAATATAAAATTAAAGGAGTTTCTATTTGAGAATAAAAACACAAAATTTGAAAGATTGGTATTTAATTGAAATAGCAACAACACAGAGTGAAACTGATTAGTAGAAGAAAATACTGGAAACATTACAGTCTGACATATGTATACTTGCACTTCACAAAACAGCTGTTGTCATGCATAGGGAATTTCCATGTTTAGTTATGTTGTCAAGCTAATAAATCCATTTTAAAGAAAAAAAGCTAGCCTGGTAGGTATGTTCTTCTGCATAAGAAACGTGCTCTTGGACTCCTGGTAACCATGACTACAGTAGTACAGTCAAAATGCAAATCAGATCCTATGATTAGGATTTCTCTTTAGCCCAGCCCATTTTTAGCAAGCTTTGATCTCTCACTTCTGACAGAAGTGATCAATAAATGTGTGTGTGTGCATGTGCGCAGTCATTTGGGATAACTTGTTTTCAAGCCTTTATCAAAAAGGTCAAGCCACATGTTTGTAAGTCTTCAGTATGCAGGTCTTTAAAATTTGAACCAAGAATTATCTGCACATATAATTTTGAAGTTCCTGTATAATATGCAGTACAGGAGATTGAAGAAAATGGAAGGCAGGGATTTTACACATTATATTAAGTCGCAGTGAATGCAGTGTGACTACAAGGACATACCCTTTATGGTTCTCCACCCCCAACATGGGAAATTCAAGGCAGCTGCTCTGACATAATTTTCTTTCAGTACTGACAACATGGCTTGGAATTTGTTAGCTCTCTAGTTTTTCCACTAGTGTAGTGAATACCAGATGTCACTTTAAGGGGGTGTATGCATAAATATTTTTCATGCTGAACTGCCTAAGCACTCTTGGGATGACTTTACCATATGGAAACTGGGCACTGATGAAAAACTGCTTTGATATATGTGTAGGCTATGAAGAGAATGGATGAGCAACAGCAATGAGTATATGCAGCTGTATCCCAAAGTGACTTCAAAGTCAAAACCATTACAGCTTTAGAAAGGCTTCCTGCTCTGCACAAGTTTCACAAAGCTCCTCGTGCCTTTTCAGAACATGAGTGCAGCCTTGTATGAGCAGAGCCACTGTAATTGTACATGGCAGGCAAAGAATCCACAGGTGCAGCATTTCATCGCACCACATCTACTTGTGGGGAAACAAGTGATTCCTTAACTGCTGCCTGTCATGCAATCCTTAAAGGGAGGTTGCCTTTGCTCCATGCGGTGTTTTGTCCCAGGAAATACCACATGTTCCTTATGGATTACCAGCCAGTTAAGTGTTCTAATAATGAGCTTGAATTGCCCAGTCTGAGTTTCTCATTGTAATAATGGGAAGATTATTATAAACTCAATCTGGCTAGAGTTCTAGATTGCATGAGAAAGTATTTTCCCACCACCTTTGCCACCCATATGTAAGATTTGCAAATGTACAGAAACACAGAAGTTGCACTTTAGTCAAATACAAGACTCAAAATGGCCAACTAGCTGAATTGCAAAGGGGACCAAGCAGAGAGGTACAGATCACCTGTACCACTCCTCCCACTCTGCATTTGGAGGCTTACAAGCATCCAGGGTATAGGAGATAGGACTGCACCCAAATACTTTGCTTACAACTGTTAGAAGCATGGGGAGAGAAAGAATTTTCTCCAGGAAAATAGCCCCTGAAGTTTTGTTTCTTCATCTACCCAGTGGTTTTTAGATTTTTCTCCATTCAGGATTGTTCCATGCTGGACTGTTCTGCAGTAGAGAGAAGCTCTAACAATGCCCCCCTATGGCCAAATCCTACTGCTCAGTGTTCTGTATGCTGGAATCCCATCTCTGGTAGCATGGCTAGCCTGCAGCATACTAAGCATAACTAACATGCTTCTGACAGGAACAAACTGCTTCACATAGATTTTCCTTCAATGTCGAAAGCCACTCTTGTATAGCCTACAATTGATTTTTTAATTGCATGTGTGAGGATGCTTGTGGTACTTTAAAATACAATTCTAATGCCAGAGAACACACCGTTTCCTTAAGGCATCAGAGCTCTTAAATCAGAAATGTGCTAACTGAAAAACCCAGCTGAAGTTCTTTCAACAGTGCTTACTGAGAGGAAGCCGGCATTGTATGTTAACCCTTTCAATAACGATCCCTTTCTTGCACTGTTTAAAGAACACCAATTAATGTCTTGACCCAAAGCATTTCTTCACAAACTGGGTTCACAGCAGGCAATCAGAAGACCAAGACGTGAAGTAAAATGGGAAACTCCATTTTGCAGCTTGTCAAGGCTGACCTACACTGATGTGATAATGTTGAGGTGAGCAAAGGATTCAACAGCCAGTAAAAGATATGGCTATATTTGAGGAGCTATATGTTAAAAGAAAGCATAAAACAAATTTTATTTCATGGATTATAAGTAACACTATAGTTACAAAAAGAAAATGAAAGGAAAAAGCTTTTGAATCTGAAATTAACATCCAAACAATATATAAGGCAAGAACTGGTGAATTAAATCAAATGGGAAGGGGAAGTCTAGGATGACAGCTACAGAAGAACATTTTTATAGCCTATTCCAACTATGTAAAAAGATCTCCGATATTCTTGTTCAAATATTTAATATGCATCATTGGTGCTAACAATGCAGGTAGAAATGCATTGGTTGGTAGAGAATCCCCCTTTCAAAGATTCTGCTCAGATGCAATGGGCCACTCCAAGATACCTTGGAACACAAACAGGCTTCATTGTGCCCCACTCCCTTCTTCCTGTGGCATGATTCTGATTCCAGGCAAGGTTCAACCCCCCTTTCAGGCATCATGAACAACTATGGTTTAATAAACCAGGAAGTGTTTGCAGCTGAGTGCACAAGGGAGAGAAGGCAGAAATGGGGTAGAGGGGCTGGCATGCTTAAGGTTGGGCATGTGCCAAAAAGAAAGTTGTGTAAGAGCAGCCAATTATACTTGAACTGGACCACTATGTAGTCTCTACTGACTTCAAACAGAAAGGGAAAGATGCAAATTTATGAACAGTTTTACATGAATATGTTCTGGTTGGTAGCATATACTAGAGAAGAAAATATTTAAATCTAGGGGGAAATAGTTGTGCAAACAGTCATCATAAAATATCTTATTTAAACCTATTGCAATCAAGAGGCACAATGGAAGACAGAACATTTTCCATTTCCTTATAATCACCATTGTTATATATGTTCAATTTCGTGTTGTACTGTTGCCAGTTAAAGTATTCCTAAGCCTATATAGTGGCTGCTGGCTGGAAAATATATCTGGTGAAAAATCAGTCAAAATTCTCATGTGTACTATACTGTCAATGAGCACACATTGACTTGACTTAAGATAGTCACATGTTTACACTTTATTTATTACTTGGATGAAATCTATTATGTCTTGGTTTATTTTGCCAGGTACTGTGGGGTGTTCTCTTTCAGGCGACAGATTCTTAGTGAACACAGAATCGCTGCTACTAGAATGGACTGCTGCTCTATCTGCTGGAATGTTCTGCCCTCCAGTGGTCTTTATCTTGCTGACTGAAGTGACAATTTCAGCACTGTGGACAGAGGATAGTTCGTTTCTACATCCACAACCCTGCATTAGATCACACTGCACGGCTGCATCAGATTTTTCCATTCCTTTAGCCCATGTCTCTGTTTGTGACCAAGCGTTGTACTTTGCCTTGAAATTAGCACATTTGTTTTCAAATGATGCATCTGGTAACTCTGTTCCAGCTTTTTGTAACATATACTTTCTTAGATTCATGGCTGGTTCTGTCAGGGGCTGAATCTCTGCTGTATCACTGGACCCATTACAAAGAATAGCAGAATACCCGCCCATCAAATGACAATTGCACTGTGACCTTGTATTTCTTGAAGCTGAAAGTGGGCTGTCATAATTTCTTGGGAAATATTCTTCCAAGAGACATGATGCTTTTCCATCCTGCTCTTCCTTTTCAGACTGTTAAAATAAATTTGTGTCAGGGTACTTGTGCATATTAAAGTCCAATGAGTTCTACCATATCGGAGCAATATTTGCTGTTCCTATAACCCTGCAAAAGGATCTAATATACTATGTGTAGCCAAGCAGAATTGAACTTCTGCAAAACAGTGCAAATATTTACCTCTTCCAATATTACTACTGGCCAATGCAATTGACTGTTTCATGTATGACATTTAACTACTATACTACTATTTTGTATTTCTTTTGAAGAGAAAAACATTTTCCTACAGAGTGAAGCCAAAATATATTCAACAAACTATTTTTCACTGAGTTCTTTTTCCCAGACAATGAATGATAAACTTCAATTTAAAGTAATATTAGCCTTCCCTTTACCTCATCAGATGTAGTACTGACATATCTGTCTGTTTGTTTTGGAGAATAACTGGGTGATTGGCTGTTTAGTTGCAATTCATCATCTGAAAAAACAAACAAACCTCAGTTTGTGAGAAGAAACACCAAGCACCAACAAATCATTCTGAAATAATGTTTACTCTTTATGTAAATAAGCATGAAACGTGTCACAACTAGGAATTGCATTAGGCTATCACATTGCATTGATTTCCCGTCAGCCAACATGGCAGTGCCAAACAAGCAGAAACTGTAGCCCTGCTTGGGCCTGAACAGAAAGCATCAACTCATGTAGGCACCATGCATGTCTCTGCAGCAGCTTACAATACATCCTGATATGCTATCCACTTGCCAAGGCCCTGCAGTCATGCTAAATCTAACATCCTGTTATGGTCATATGACGAGGTCAAAAATTTCTCTGGCTCCAAAGAAAATGGATTCCCAGACTGAACAGGAGCCACAGGGACTGAGCAGTAAAATTCTGAATACAGTTACATGGTGAAGAATTTAAAAATGGGGATCATTTAAGCTGTTTATTGCCACAATTGGTACTACAATCCCATCAACATTGAACTACATTACAACAGATCTGTAGACATTTCTATTCCCAGTTGATAAGGAACTCAAATTCAAAGTACAGAGGTATTCTGTTGTTCTTCATGATTAAATGACAATGCCCTTTTAAACACAGACAAAACAATTAAGACAATATGAATTTAGTACAAACCTCTTTGCCTTTCTTGCTTTGAATGCTGATCATAAAAATTGTAGACATCCTTTTCAAAAAAAATAAAGTTCATGTTAGTTTATAACAATGTACGAATTCATAACTTTATACCCATTTTCTTTTAGGGCCCTTTTCCTGTGTCTTTCACTGTGATCAAAAGCATGATCACAATGAAAGACATGATGATAATGGCTCACTCATAAAAATGGTCTATCCGTTCTGACATAAAATGGCTATAAGTCTTTCCTTACCCGAAGAAGGGTCTCTGAGAACCTGTCATCTCTGTAGTGAACTGGGCTAATGAATGATCATGGAGGGAATGGTCCTATGGTCCCTGGGAGAATATCCCAGGACCATAGGATTGCTGACAACATCTTTCTGAGATTGGATACAGTGTTCCAATCTTGGAAGAAGGAGTTGGCAATCAACCCCACTCACTTCCATGAAGCTGGCATGGAGAGAAGCTGCATCTCCAAGGACTTGACCCTGCAGAAAGGGAAGGAGCACGCTCAGACACCCTTCCTGAAAATATCAGTTCAGGCATAGCTCTCTGTCCTATATCTTCTGCAGTGAAGACAGAAGAAAAGTATTCATTCAGCTTTTCCACATTCACTTTATCCACCTTTAATACTTTAACTCATTATCATCCAAAAGCCTAACTGCCTCCCTAGCTGGTTTCCTGTTAAATTTTAAGAATTCTTTATTGGTCAGCTTGTACAAGTTTGTGGTCCCTTTTTTCATCTCTTAGGTGAGCCTTCACTTTTCCAGAGGAAGACTTGCACTTGGTGCTACTTGTGATAAACATTCTATCAGAGTTTCCAAGTATTTTGAAAGGATTTAAGGCTTTTGATTTCCTCTTTCAAGTTCCTTTTTAACCAGTTCTCTCATTTATAAAAATTTCTTCTTTTGAAATTAAATGTGCCTGCTCTGAACTTCCTGCCAATTTCCCACTTGAATATATATTGAATCTGATAATGGTCACTACTTCGAACTGGTTCAACAATATTTACATATTAGGGCATGGAAAACACTAGTTAGGAATAAAGCCAAGGTTGTGTTCCTTCTCATTGGTTCTAGGACACCGTGATTTAGGGCATCAAGAAACTTATGCTCTTCTTTGTGACTGGAATATACATTCATTCATCCGTTCATTCAGTGTGGCATAAAGTAGTCGCCTATTATTATACTTCCTAGTTGACATCTTGAGATAATCCTGAGCAATCTGGTCTGATAGATAATACCATGTATACGTTACTAAATTAATTTTGGAGTCTGGAATTGACACCCGTAGTGCTTCTGTCCCTTTTGTATTTTGAAGTCTATGGACACTGTGTCTTCTTTCACATACAGAACATCACCTCCTCCAGTATGCACTATATATTTGCCTATGTGTCAGGGGGCAGGTATTTTCAGTAGGTATGCTCTACATGAGCAATCTTCAAACAAGAGGCTTATCATGTTCCTATGAAATAAGGTTTATGTACAAATAAATGTATTTATAGGCCAAACATATCAGAATTCACAACATTAGCACTCCAGATTTTTATTCATCCTCTGAAGTACAGAAACATCTGTAGTGCCATAGGACTGCAGAGAGCAAAGTCTGCCTTCTTTTCAGATCCAGTGCAGAATGGCAAAAAACAACAGGCTAAACCTTCCCCTCAGCCTAGCAGGACAAAAGGATGAGCCATATTCCACTAATTACATATTCCTTCTTGGGGCATCATGATTCCCACTGAAAGCTACTAAGCAAAAATCGCCCTTTGTCTTACTAGAGCTTGCCTTACACTGATCGCTTTACTGACAGAAATATTATAGTCATGAACTGCAGAAATGGAAGGATTAGAAGCACCTGATGGTGAGGGACTACAGAAAGGTCCAGACCAAACCTAAAGTAATTGAAGCCAAAGATGTTATTACCTCCACAAATTAGACTAATTAAAAAAATCATCTAATCATTTTGACTTTGCTGGAGCTAGAAAACCAAGGTAACTCAAGAAAAGCTGGACTTTTGTACTTTCATAAATTAAACTAATTAAGAACTGCTGATCATTTTGATTTTGCTGGAGCTGGAAAACCAAAAGTGATCAATAGCATGGGAAATCTGATCTTTATTTTGCTTACTTCTCCCCATATACCTACTCCAGACTTTCAGAGAATTCACCAACAAAGTTAATACTCTTTCAAGACCATATTTACAGTGTTAAAGTTGAAGTTGTTGATATGAACTTTGTGGCCAATACAAAATTTTACACAGTAGAATAAATTGTGAATAAACACATCTACGTATACCTCTTCAACAGCTCAGTTTCTGACAAGAAAACAAAAGGGCAGGAGTGAGGAATGAGTAGCCTTCCAGATTGTGTTGGACTGAAATACCATCAGCACTAGCCAGTGAAGAGAGTGAAGAGAGTTTCAGAGAACTGAAGTATTATATTAAGGTGTGCAGTTCTGTCCTAATGATCCATGGTGTAGATTGTGTTGGATTCTAACAACATCCTGTGTGAGAAAAGGAATGTTCTGTACCTGTCCTACACCCTGCATAGAAAAGGATTCCTTCCACAGATTTTCTACACAGAGGGCACCCACCCAAAGCCTAAGCCTGTTATTTTTGAGGCCCAAGATGAAGGTAGGCCACAGCCTCCTACTAACAGTAAAGGTTTCTGAACTGTCATGCTCTTCTAAGGAATGTCATTAACTAGAAACTTTTTTGGAAATTTTCTCTTAAGAAAATACCACCCTAGTAGATTGCTTTCTACTAGGTGCAATCTGCTGACAACCACTCAAGCAATTTAGAAATTATCAAGCCTCAACAAAGCTCATCAAACGAGTCCTCTTTTTTTCACACAGTATCTGCTTAAGATTGCTTCAGACAGTTCTATGCTTGTCTCATGCCATATTTCAGTACAAGAAGGCAAACAGAAGGAAATAATGTTATGTCTATTATATATTTTCAGATCATAAGCAGCACTGAAAATATACTAAATTGGATTGAAGCTGCTTCACGTTAGAAACAAGTATTTATTTATTTATTTATTTATTTATTTATTTATTTATTTATTTATTTATAAAGCTTCTATGCCACCCCATTCGCCGAAGCCTCGGGGCGGCTCACAACAATAAATAAATTATAACAATATAAAAACAATATAATTGGAGACGTCCTGGCCAAAGATGTAAAACAAATAAATAATATTAGCAATTAAAATGACGTTTAAATAAAAAGGTCTTCGCCTGGCGCTGAAAAACAAATAACAACGGCGCAAGGCGGACCTCTCTGGGGAGCGCATTCCATAGATTGGGCGCCACCGCAGAGAAAGCCCTCCTCTGAGTACTTACCCTCCTAATATCCTTCACGGAGGGTTCCTGGAGAAGGGTCTCTCCCGCTGATCTCAAGGGGCAGGCGGGCACATATGGACGTAAGAGCTCCTTTAGGTAACCAGGACCCAAGCCATTAAGGGCTTTATAGGTCATACCCAACACCTTGAATTGGGCCCGGACTTCAATGGGGAGCCAGTGAAGCTGACGGAGAACTGGAGTCATGTGAACATAACATCCAGTCCCCGTCAGCAGCCTGGCAGCTCTATTCTGAACCAATTGAAGTATCCGGACCGTCTTCAAGGGCAGCCCCACGTAGAGCGCGTTACAGAAATCAAGGCGGGAAGTCACCAACACGTGTGTCACTGTCACCAGGCAGTCGTTCTCCAGGTAGGGACGCAGCTGATGGACCAGCCGAAGCTGAAAGAAAGCGCTCCTCGCCACCACTGTCACCTGAGCTTCCAGTGAAAGCTCTGGGTCGAGGAACATTCCTAAATACAGACAATATAATATGTTTACCTCTTCCAGTTCAAAGATCTGCAAGTGATTTAGATTTGGTTCTGCTCGTCCACACTTCCTGCAGAAAAATACAGAAAAGAAAAAAGTAACTTTCATTGCAATTTCACCTGACCAAATGAAAACTAATATTGCTTCTATACCTTTTTGAATAGTGGATACCTAACACTAGGTACCTTAACTTAAGCATCTGTTCTATTCTCAACTGTAACAATTAACCTTGAAGGAATAAGACACTTGCTAGCATAAATTGGTGATGGAACAGATCTAGAGACTACTGAAATTCAGAGATAAATAATGGAAGCATAAATCTGTGACATCAAATATATTTGCTTACAAAACCCAAGTAAATTCTCCTTTTTCATGTTCAAGAGCACTTCTGAAAACTGTTGCTTTTGATATGAAGAAAACAAAGGATTATATCTTTTAACTGGTCACACTAGAAGACTTCATAGTGATAATGCCACTCTGGACCTTAATATGATCTGCATATATACCAGCTGGACATATAATGGCTACTATGTAATATTTCAGATTAGTGCAGACCTCCCTGGGAGATTGCACAATGGCTGCTTAGTTGCCCTGGGAAACTCCATCGGTCAATATAGACATACACCCATTACATCTTTTTTACATAGGAGGTATCACTGCTGTCATTGATCTTCCTTCTTACCTTAATCAATTACCTATGGTATGCAAACTGAGAATTGTTGATAAAGAAACTACCTGTATAACACTTTGATTAGATCATCAATTTAAGCCTTTAATTGTGGCATAAGCAAACAACCATTCTAAAGATCTAATACCACACAGGGTTGTTGCCATGGCTTGTCATGTCATCCACACTTGGGCAGCAGGTGTTGTCTGAAGAACAGACAACCTTCAGACAACCTTACAATGGACCAGGAGTTATTTGAGGGTTGTTTAACTATCAGACAACCCCTGAAACCCGGGTTTGGGCAACATGAAAAATCATGGCAATCTGCTGGTGCTGTGGTGGATATCCAGAATGGCCAACAGCATGCACCATTACTTAAATAAGCCATGGTGAGCTGCAATGATAATAGAAACCAGCCTGCTGATAGTCAGACCGGGAGTGAAGTCATGTTCACATCCCACTCAGTCATGAAGCTCACTGATTGACTTTGAGCCAATCATTCTCTCTCCCAAGCATATTCCACAGAACACTTGGGAGATAAAATTATGTGTGTGTTGAGCTTCTTGTCTGGTCAAGGTGTTAGTTTCCATGCTGAAGAATGCAAGATACAATTTCCAGAATGTTCCAGCTGAACTATGGGGATCCATATGCATGCATTAATTTAATACATGAGTATGTATGGCCTTTTGTTTTGAACCCTGGTGGCATTTTCTTTATCACTTTCTTATATTTTTATTCATTACTTTTAGTATAAAATTAATAGCCTTACAGAACAATCTTATGGCTCCTGGACAGCATCTACAATGCCGCAGAATTGATCAAACCCCCAGGTATGAGGTCAGAAAATTAGTCCAGTCTTGTACTTGAACTACATTCAGCTATTCCCCCCCCCCCAAAACACACACACACACAAACATACTGTATATGTCTGGAGCTGAAAGCCCCACACCAGCTGTGTCTCCCAGGTTGTAAAGTGACCTCAGAGAAGGGCTCTGGGGGGTAAGGAAGGAAGGAGACCAGTACCACCAAGATACAATGTATCGTGATGGTGCCTCAGCCTCATTGTCTAAGGTGTTGCATTTAGAGGACAATAATTAAGCACCTAAGTGCAAGCACAACAGGATGAGTATGGAAGCAAGCTTCATCTTTGTACTCTTTCTGCTCTGCATAGGATGCCCGTAATTCTCTGAAGTGAGAGGACTGTATTGCTCCATCATATATTCTTTCACAAGATAAATTAAATGTATATTTTTGCTAAGCATGGTAGATTTGTACATGGTAGGTACCCTCTATAATACATTTTTAACAAATAAGCAAGATGCTTTTAAGACTCACCTTGTCTCTAAGCAATTCTGTACAGTGTCTGCTACTTGAGTATCTTTCTTTTGGTTTTCAAATCTTCCTAACAAAGAATTAAAATATAACTTTTCATGAAAGCAAATGTTATAAAATTAATTTATTAAAACTAGTGAAAATGTATTTTAAGTGTGGAAACTCTGATCATGGAAAATATCCTACTTCTGGAACACCCTGGATGATAGCCAATAAACAGACTAAATCTAGACTAGGTGGAGGTACTGTTGGTAGGTGGTTCTTCTGTTGAGTTGGGAAATATGCAACCTGATCTGGACAGGGTTGCACTCCCCCTGAAGGACAGGGTTCATAGTCTGGGGATGTTTCTAGAATCCGAATTATCACTGGAGTCACAGGTGGACTTAGTGACTAGGAGCACCTTCTATAGGCTTAGGCTGATTTACCAGTTATGACTCTATCTGGCAGAGGGTCAGGCAGAGTCTAGCAGCAGTATCTATACTCTGGTAGCCTCTTCTTTGGAGTATTGTAGTGTGCTCTACTTGAGGCCCTTCTCGTTGCCACCATCTGAGTCTCCTTTGTAGGTGACACTCAGAGGTAGACTCCAGAACTTGATTGTAATGCCTGGGTAGATGAAGGTATTCTGTCAGGTACCATGTCCTGGGAAAGGTATTCTGTCAGGTACCATGTCCCAAGTGATGAATTTATTTATTTATTAAATGCAGTATATGAATCTAATAAATAAATAAATTCATCACTTGGGACATGGTACCTGACAGAATTCTTCTTTTCCCAACCTTCTTTTCTTTTTTTTAAAGAACTCAAAGTGACTTGCAGCATTCTCCTCCTCCAGCTCTCAATCTTATCCTCACAACAACCCTGTAAGGTAAGTTGGGCTGAAAGTCTGTGATTGGCCCAAAGTTGCCCAGTTGACTCCATGGCTGAGCAGGGACTAGAACCCAGATTGTCACAGTCCCAGCCCCATGCTCTTAACCACTACATCACCCTGACTCTCAGTGAAGGAGTTTATGGGTCAAAACCAGCACCTTGGATTGGGCTCGAAAGCAATGAGGCAGCCTGTGCAAGTGGTCCAGAATTGGTTTTATGTGATCAGGAAATCTGATCCCTGTTACTAATCTGGCTGCTGTGCTTTGCACAAGCTGCAGCTTCCAAACGTTCTCCAAGGGGAGGCTCATGTGTTGCAGTTTATCGATGACCAGAACACAGATCACTGATAGCAGGCTATCTCTGTCCAGATAAGGATGAGCCACTGGCCCCGAGTAACAAAGATAACTCAGGAAGCACTCCTGAGCTACAAACCTACTCCTGCAGGGAGAGTGCAACACCATCTGAATTCCTTCCATCCAATGAGAAGAACCACCCACTAATAGCATCTCAGTCTTGTCTGGACATAGCTTCAGTTTGTTATCCCTCATCCAGTCCATTGTTGCGGCAAGGCACTGGTTTAGCACATACATAGCCTCACCTGCTGAAGATGAAAAGGAGAGACAGAGCTGTGTGGCATCAACATATTGATGACAATGCACTCCAAAACACCAGATAATCTCAGTCAGCAGTTTCATGTACATGTTAAACAACATGGGGGACAAGACTGACCCCTGAGAAAACTCATACTGGAGATTTCAAGGAACAGAGCAATATCCCCAAGTACCACCTTTTGAAGTCTACTCTCTAAGCAGAAGTACGACCACTGCAATGAAGTGCCTTTTACATAGTCACCCCGGAAGAATACCATGGTTGATCGTGTTGAAAGCTGCTGAGAAGTCCAGGAATACCAACAGGGTTGCACTTCTCTTTCCTAGCACAGATCATCATGGAGGGTGACCAAAGCTGTTTCCATGCCAAAACCAGGCCTGAACCCCAACTGAAATGGTTCCAGATAAACAATCTCATCCAAGAGTGTGCAGAGTTGGTTGACTACCACCAACTCAACAATCTTCCCCAGGTAGGGGATATTTGCTACCAGTTTAAAATACTTGAGTTCTTCTGGGTCCAAGGAGGGTTTTTTCAGGAGTTGTCTCACCACCACTTGTTTCAGGTGGTCAAGACCACTCCTTCTTGTAGAGAAGCATTAATCACCTCTCTGGCCTAGCTGGCTGTTCCCTCCCTACTGGTTTTTATTAGCTAAAAGGATCCAGTACAGATGTCGCCACATGAATATATCCAAGAACCTTGTTGACCTCCTCAAGCTGTACTAATTGCAACTCATTCAAAACAACTAGAGCAGAGATATAACTCCCAGGATCAGATATAGCAAATGATAGCATTCCCTGGGGCTCACATATCCATAATGGCCACCAGCATACACCACAGCTCCTCACTGCTAAATTAATTCATAATGGACTGTCATTTCCTGAGAACTGCCCCCCATGAAAAAGAAACAGCAACAGCAATGCCTATGAGAGAATATTAGCCCTAGTGGTGGATAGCACGGACTCTACCAGCAAGGATCATTTGGAGTGTGGAACACATATCTGTTTGTTCCACAAGGGGTCCTTGCAATGTACAGGCCCTCTTTCTAATCACGTAAATCATCTGTATTTAGAAAAGACATATTTCTTATTATATCATAGCACTCCTTAAATCATGAGAAGCCTTCCATGATGTAATTGTTTCATTTATCAGAGGCATTTACCTGTGTTTTCAAAGGCTGTAGTGTTCTGTGGCTGGTCAGAAAATATTACAGGATTTCTTTCTTGAATATAGCTATTTTTAAATTGATTCTTGCTGCATTCTTGGTCAATTGCATGTAACCTTTGGCTGTTAGGGAAGAAAATTTGTTCTGGAGCTGTAAAAATACCTTTGAGGTCTCTCTCAGCAGAAGAGCTTTGAATGGGACTTGTTATTTGATGCATTTCTTTTTCACCAAAAGGGCTATGTATGTTGCATATTTGATTTCTATCACCTGAATCTGTGAAAAGCTGGTCAATAATGTTTCTGTTAACTAAAGGATGGTAAGCAGAAGCAGAAGTAGTCAGATAGTGCTGATTCATTTCTTCAAACAAAGACACAATGGGCTGGAAGTTTTCACTTTGTGTAGTCTTCAGTGTGTCTTTCACAATTCCAAACAATCCTTCTTCACTGTGACTGCTTCCAAAATCTGTAACAGCAGTGACTTTGGGAGACTTGCCAAATATATCCCTATATTCTGGACTTGGAGAGGCAGGAAAAGTTGACCATTTAAATAGCTAGGCAAAATGAATGGTTCACACATCACATTACCAACATTAATGTTTATTTTAAACATTCCATCTGCATGAAATATCTTCCTCCCTAGAACTCAGGAATTGCTCAGGTTGGAGAGTCAGAAACAGTTGGTTCCTGTGGTAGTCTTTCTCAAATTCGTACAGGGCTCATTATATTATTCAAGAGACTGTGACTAACCAGTTTAGCCACTGTATGTCACTGCTGCTCCACTGCAGTAAACTAGGCAGTAGTAGAGAAGCAAGGACATATAGTACTTTTACTTATAAAGCACTGGGAAACATCAGTAACATGGGGTATCTAAGCATCCATCATTTCAGATAATTTTGAAACCATATTCTGATCCAGGTGCACTCTTAGTATCATGCCAAACTGTACCAGCATTTTAATTATTATTAAAAATAACTCTGTGACTTCAGAGATCCATATAAGCCTGTAATTTTATGGGTTAATTGGAATGATGTATATCAGTAATCTAACTAAATTATAGGCTTTAATTTAAAAGAGTAATCTGATCTGCACCTGTACCTCCCGTTACCCGCTGCTTGCGCACTGATCGGCCGTGGCGCGCCCAGGACTGCGCTCCGTGGCCCTGGGCGCCTGGAGGCCTTCCCGCCTGCCGCCCTTCTGGAAACAGCCGTGCTGCTGGCAGAACCCACCTGGGCAAGGGACAGCCGCGCATCGATTGTACATAAACCTGAAGCTCTCCATAAAGTTCCAGGCAACGGATGAAGCAGGTCGCAGCCGGCAAAGTGTGTGCCAGGATGAATGCTGAGACTCTGGGGGCAAAGGAGCCCTGGCTGTCCTTGTTGCCACCCACTTCAGTGGGTTCTTAATGCCAAGGGTTTTTTGGTTCTATTTAATTGTGTTAATTTATTCACAGATTTATTATTGCTATTAGTCTTTTGCAGTTGAGAGTTCTATCGTGTTTTGTATTGTTTTATGTTTGGATTTTAACATGTTGTAAGCCACCCAGAGAGCCTATGGCTAGTGGGGCAGCATATAAATTGAAATTGAATTGAATTGAAATTGAATAAAGCTAATTCTTAAACTAAGCATGTTTGACTTATCTAAGATCATATTCAAGCAGGATTTTTACAATTTACATGTTTATAAATAAAACTGAAGCATCTTGCAGATGTCTGCCACCATGCAAAGTGAGAGGATCAAAATCGTGCATATCTGTTCTGCTATTTAGTCCCTGATTTGTCTGCTTGAGTCCCAGTGATCTGGCAGTCAACCATCATGTTTGCAAATGAACCAAAGTATATAAAACAATATGTGTCTAAACCCCAGACATGCAACTGTGTACCACGAAGTCAGAACATACAGATCTGGCAGCTGCAGACTATGTGCAACAAGCTCTATGAGCAAAGCTCACTATGCAAATTTAACAATCCATCATGTAATCTAGAACTGTAGTGGTCTGCTGGGGAGGGTGGCAGATGGGTCAGTGAAAACCTGATCAACTCACCATGTCTAAGAAGGGCTTTAGAAATGCCGTATTATGTTTTAAATATAAAAATAATTGTTACATTTGAATTTCAAGGCTCCAAAAAAATTTTTGTATGGCAAGTACACACATTGAAGTACAGTAATATTTAATGCAAGTTTTAACTTCAAAGACAAACAAAAGTTATATTTGTCCATTGTATTTTTAAGCGGGGGGAAAACATGTCTAATTTAATTGATATGTAAAGTCTGTGCCTACCTATTCAACTGCTGGAAATACTGACCAGTTGGTACATCTACGTCTGGGTCATTGAAATCCCTTTTCCTGTATGCTGCCTTAGAAATCCAAGCATCTTCAGATTTAATATTCGGTATCTGTGATGAGTGTAGCCACTGTCAACACATTATAGAAACACTTTTTCTATAGTGCTCTTAGACATTTGCTCAACCTCTTCAACCCTGGATAACCTCAGTAACATGAGCCAGTATCCAACACAGCCACTATGCTTCCACTGCCTTTGTGCCCGTAGCACAAGAGGAACAAGCACTTCCAAAAGAAATCACAGAAATCAAAGGAATTGGACATTTCTACTCTTTCTAGTTTTTGTGCTCTTTTCCCCTTCAGCTAGCAGCAGGCCCTGCTAGAATGCAAGCAGTATTGGATGCTTCCCATGGATACAATTTTACTCATGGGCAATGCCGTGAATGGAATCAACAGATCTTTCACCTCAGTGGACCTTCTAGTAGCGTATACTGATTTGGCATACTTCAAAATCAGTCATGTATGTGTTTATGAATGCCGTTTCAAATAATATTTGATGCTTATGTGATCATAAATCACCTTTGGCACTACCTTGGGAAAGGCAACTGATAATACTACACAATAAATGAAAATCATCATGACACAAACTTTTACTGTACAAGTTTACGTGGGAAAAGCCATTTCATAAATGTGAAATATTATGCTATAGTTAGCATAGCACTACCAATGACACAATTTAGCACAATGAAAAAAAGATTAAGAGTACTATAAAGTTTACTTGAGACTGAAAGTTCTTTTTTTCTGAGAGGTATTTTCTTCTATTTTCTAATATTTCTTCTTGTACCCTATTAAAAAAACAGGAAATGAGAAAAAAAAAGAATCTGGCATACTTTCAAATCTATTCATGATTTGATTTTTTTTTACTTTTATAAGATTTGATATGGGTATGATATTAAAGGCAGCAAGAAATTGATTTCCGAAAAATCAAAACTCTCACAGTGCACTTATATGTATATCTATTCAAAAGTAAGTGGCAGTGCCTTAGGCTTCAGTCCTATACACACTTACCAAGGGATAAATCCAACTGGGACTTGCTTCTAGTAAACATGCATAGGATTATGTTAGTGGAAAATTCCCTAGAGATTGCTGTGCTTAATTTTTTCTCAGAAAAAATAAAGAGACCTATGGTATCCTCAAAATTAACATATATTTGACGGAATGAGCTTTAATAGACCAGACCCAACTATGATGAATTCAGTGGTCACTTAACTGACTAGAGATGTAGCCTGAGTACTGGGAGAGAAAGGGAAAATGTCCTTTCATAAGTAAAGCCAAAAGATCAAGCAATGCAAAAGACAGAATAATGTACTATCATCACCATCACCACCACCACCACCACCATCTAATATTAATATGAGAAGGCATTTCATGTTATTATGCAAAGCATAAATGAATATCGGATCCAAACTCTTCAGCATAAAAAACCCGAATCTAGGCTGGTCAGGGAACAGGACAATTAAAATATTCATTTATAATTATCCATATTATTTATTTATAGAGTTTTATTTTATTTTTGAGAGCCAGTGTGGTGCAGTGGTGAAGAGCATGGGACTGGGACTCAGGCAACCTGGGTTCGAGTCCCCGCTCAGCCATGGAGCCCACTGGGTGACTTTGGGCCAGTCACAGACTCTCAGCCCAACCTGCCTCACAGGGTTGTTGTTGTGGGGATAAGGAGGAGGAGGAGAATGATGTAAGCTGCCTTGAGCCCTTTGTAGGCAAAAGGCAGGATATAAATCGAAAAATAAAATAAAAAATAAATCGAAAATAAACTAAAATTACAGGATTTTATTGAAATGTAAAGGATAGCTATAACTGCACAAGTACCTGTGCTGGATATCATCTAAGAGTGGTTCAGGTGGTCTGTGTTCTGGTGAGTTAGGAAGTTCTACATTGTGCCTTCTCAAAGGAATTTTTACTCCTCTGTTAATATCCACTTGAACTGGCTTTTGAATACTGCCTATAATAAAAACAAAAGATTAGCAGCCCTTTCAGTGGGTTGAACTAGGCAGCTAACATTTAAGTAAGCTTACAGGATCAAAACCATTTAATTAGCATATATGTTAAAAGGTTGTATGTGTAACTGTTTCAATAGCCCTCAATAGCTAAAACTCTCTGGACAGTTAATTTACCCAATATTTTAAGGATTAATTATTTTATCATATAACTATAATTATTTTATTGTATATTTGTTATATTATATTCATATTTTAATCTGCTATTCTGCTCTGCTTGTAAGCCATCTTGAAAGCTGCTTGGATAAAGTTGGGTTAGAGTTTTTAAATAAATAATAAAAATTAAAACCTAGGCAGTGAAAGCCTATGGCTGCTAGACACATGCTCTGTGGTTGGATCTAGGACTCTAAACTTCGAGCGGCATCCACCTTCTTTTGCAGCTAGTACTAAAAGAACCATGCTGGCTGCTTCTTTGACACTGGAAACATAGTCTTGGGGAAGAGATTGAGTACACAAGGAGGAAGGTGGGCTGTGGAGGGAACTCCTGGAATACAAGGTCTCCTGGAAGCACCTCAGCCCCCTTGCCTCCTACTCCTAAGTGTAACACTTATATAGCCTGAATCTGCTGTCTAGGTGTTTTTCAGGGGAACCCAAACTTTGCACTCATCCTGCCCTACATAGAAAGCCTGTAACTCTCCAAGTTGGGAGGGTTTCAGGCATCCAGACTATATTGCCTCCTAAAATACAACTTAGTAAATAAAATATAAAACCTTTTAAAAGTCTTATAACAAATACTTTTTAATGGCAAAACTTGTCAAATTGGCTATTAAACTCACCAGTATATTTTTTCTTGGTAGATATTTGGTTGACAACATACAAATTGAGCAGGTCTAAGCTGACAGCTGAGTTTTGAAAGGGAGACTCCCTCAACATCTTCATCTTGGACTTAAGCCTTTTTTTTTCAAAGAAGTCCTATTACATTGAGATAAATGGGTGAATACTATAATGATTTAGATTTTCATGATATATAAGCAAGGCATTACTTATATTCCACCTTATCTTAAGGCTCAGAGTGGCTAGAAAGTTATGACCCTTAAGGTATTTTCCTTTAGTAATTACACAAAGGCCTCAAAATAGCTGGAGGCCTCCAGAGCAAAAAAGAACTGTTGGCAGCTCTGGAAAAATTTGGTCCAGAAGTGCAGTGAAGTTGCCTTACTTCCTGTAGCCCCAGAGAAAGTGACAAGGACACATGCAGATGTCAGTCATCTAGATCAGTAGTTTTCAACCACCGGTCCACTGACTGTCGTTGGCCTGCGGGAGATTTCCTGCTGGCTTGTGTGGCGGCTGCATCCCACTCACTGAAGACCTGCATGGGGGCTGTCTGTGCTCTACTACCTCTTCCTTGGTTGGCACTGTGTTTGTGGAAGTGTGCCAGTGCCATGGGGAGAGGGGGCAGGTATGGGAAAGATGGCTCAGTGGGAGCTGGCTGGGAGCCATGATGCACCAATATTGGTATTTTGTTCTTTGTTGGCATTTTTTGTTTCTCACTTTCTGGTTGTTTTGGAGAATTTTCATTTTTTTGGTATTGTGTTTGGAAACGAATACACAGAATACTGTATTATGTGTATGGTGCTTTTTGTTTCTGTCTCAGCGGTTCCTGAGGTGGTTTTTCTGGTTTTACAGCTGTGGTAAGGTTGAAAACCACTGTTCTAGATAGTGGGTAGGGCTACATATCACAGATGGCCTTCTTGTTTGCATTTTTATACCTCTTCATTATCAACAAACTATAGATTTTAGTCCTAATATACAAAGTTGGTAACATTTACATTGCAGAGGAAAAGTATTTATACTTCTTGTATTAAACCAAATAAATCTATTCCATAGAATGGTGAAACCCCTTAGCCTTCCCTTATTAAAATTATCAGTAAAAAGTCTTGATATAAAATAAGTCTAAAGTTACCATTTTAAAAGGAGCTGAGAGTTCATGAAAAACAACAATTATGCATACAAGACTAATGTCCTAGTGCTTTTTCTTTTACTATATTCATAGTGACCAAAACAAAACTACCCATCCATTATCACTTAAAACCATCGATAATGCATATTTGTAATTATCTAATAGTCACAAATGTTCAATCCCTCCAAATTGTAGAATAAAGCTTCTTATTAAATTCATATTACCAATGCTGAATAGAATTAAAAACATGAGATATAAGGTGATTTTATCAATGGGACTATTGCTGCATAGTTTGTACAAAGAGTTGCAAAATATTTGTAAAAGGAGAGTTTGTACAAAGTTGGAACATGTTCCCATCTGTTTTACTGCATCGTAAAGTATTATTTAACAAATAATATCGTAAAAACTAATATTTCAATACTATCTGGTGCTTCTAATTTAAGTTTGGTTAAAATAATTGCAAATAGATGATAGATAGGTAGCTATCCCATAACGTATTACTATACAAAATATTTGTATAGTAATATAGAACATGAAAAAACATACCAGGACCCATAGACTACACAGAATAGGTTCTGTTCAAGGAACCATAACAGCTGCTATGGTTGTTGCACAAAAGCTTGCACACGAGTTTGTGCACAAGCTCACACAGATACAAGGTAGGTTCTATAGTAATTTATTTATTTATTTTCCAATTTATATCCTGCCTTTTTCCTACAAAGGGCCCAAGGCAGCTTACATCTCCTCCTCCATCTTATTCCCACAACAACTCTGTGAAGTAGGTGGGCTGAGAGTCTGTGACTGGCCCAAAGTCACCCAGTTGGCTCCATGGCTGAGCAGGAACTAGAACCTAGATCGTCTGAGTCCCAGTCCCATGCTCTTAACCACTACATCACACTTCCCCTCCTGCTGGGGAAGGTAATTCTCCTTCTGCCTGAAAATCTAACAATAACTTTGGATTCAGTTTGATTTTTCTCATACGACACTCTAATACTGGCTGCTCTATTACAGAATGTAAAAACTGGCCCTCTATCAACAAAAAACACATTCTGCTTCTTGTTGTTGTTAGTTGCGAAGTCGTGTCCGACCCATCGCGACCCCATGGACAACATTCCTCCAGGCCTTCCTGTCCTCCACCATCTCCCGGAGTCCACCCAAGCTCACACCAACTGCTTCAGTGACTCCATCTAGCCACCTGATCCTCTGCCGTCCCCTTCTTCTTTTGCCATCAATTGTTCCCAACATTAGGCTCTTCAGGGAGTCCTTCCGTCTCATTAGGTGGCCAAAGTATTTGAGTTTCATCTTCAGTATCTGGCCTTCTAAAGAGCAGTCAGGGTTGATCTCCTCTAGGACTGACCGGTTTGATTGCCTTGTGGTCCAAGGGACTCGTGGGAGTCTCCGCCAGCACCACAATTCAAAGGCCTTCAATCCTTTTGCGCTCAGCCTTCCTTATGGTTCAGCTTTCACAGTCATACATTGCAACTGGGAAAACCATAGCCTTGACTATACGCACTTTTGTTGGCAGGGTGATGTCCCTGCTTTTTAGTATGCTGTCTAGATTTGCCATAGCTTTCCTCCCCGGGAGCAAGCATTTTTTAATTTCTTGGCTGCAGTCCCCGTCTGTGGCGACTGTGGAGCCCAGGAAAATAAAATCTGTCACTACCTCCATTTCTTCACCATCTATTTGCCAGGAAGTGAGAGGACCGGATGCCATGATCTTAGTTTTCTTGATGTTGAGTTTCAAGCCAACTATTTAAGCACTTTCCTCCTTCACCCGCATCAAGAGGCTCTTTAGTTCCTCTTCACTTTCTGCCATTAGAGTGGTATCATCTGCATATCTGAGGTTGTTAATATTTCTCCCAGCAATCTTAATTCCAGCTAGTGATTCATCCAGCCCCGCTTTTCTCATGATGTGCTCTGCATATAAGTTAAATAGGCAGGGCGACAGTATACAGCCTTGCTGAACTCCTTTCTCAATTCCGTGTCCAGTTCTCACTGTTGCTTCTTGACCCACATATAGGTTTCTCAAGAGACAAATAAGGTGGTCTGGCACTCCCATCTCTTTAAGAACTTGCCACAGTTTGTTGTGATCCACACAATCAAAGGCTTTAGCATAGTCAATGAAGCAGAAGTAGATGTTTTTCTGGAACTCCCTAGCTTTCTCCATGATCCAGCGTATGTTGGCAATTTGATCTCTAGTTCCTCTCCCTCTTCATAATCCTTCCTGTATTTCTGGCAGTTCTCAGTCCACATACTGCTGGAGCCTAGCTTGTAGGATTTTGAGCATAACTTTGCTAGCATGTGAAATGAGTGCAATGGTGCGGTAGTTTGAACATTCTTTGGCATTGCCCTTCTTTGGGATCGGAATGTAAACTGACCTTTTCCAATCATTTAGATCCAACCCACTGTGCATTGCTTTTGCATAGAATGACTATAATTTGCACCTCATGTTCATTAAAATTAAGGATAGCAAACTACATAAGGGCATGCTGAATTTATCCCACATTATTAATTATTATTATTTTAGCACAGTTAATTAACTTCCTCCCTTGAGAGTGATCCATCAGAGCTTTCTGACTTCTAAACATAAAACTCATGAGTTGAATCTGGACATTGAGCTGTGACTATAACCATAATGTCTAGTAACTTTTTAAAAATAGAAAACATCATGATGCCCATGCTTCTAGCAGGCATCTGGGGCTGTTGTGCCCTAAATATAATGAATAATAGCATTTGTTTTCTTTTACAAGCTATTCTCCCTGCACCTTGCAATTCAAGTTTTTTGCTGTTGTTCCTGGTCATTCTTCTGTTTGGCTTGCATCTTGATTTCTGTCAAAGTGACACTTCACTCAATTGAGATGTAGAATACTGCCCTACTCCTACCTAAATAGAAAATAAAGATGAAAGGTGCACTCTTACAGTTGCTAGATGGCCATTAGATTATTCAGGGTTTCAGTTCCAACTTCCAACTCACTCCATCCTCTCATGCAATATGGAAAGAACAATGCCAAATGTGACCTCAGAAACAGTTTTGTGGACAGGGAGGGTGCAGGGATAAGACAGACTCCACAAGCATATGAAGTGTCTCAGCCTTCTCTCTTCATGCTCTTGCACAAAGTAAAACTTTGATGAAGTTAGGTGACCTTTGCCTCTGCACTGCTTTTGCCCTCCATAGGATGCCTGCAATCCTCCAAATTCAGATTGCAGTGCCGTGTGTGCGCATATTTCCCAGATATATCCTGCTCTTACTTGGGGCTTTCAATGGTCTCTTGTCCAAAACACTGCTCAGCCCACTCTTGCTTAGATCAGCATCAGATTCTCTCAGACTATTAATTGAGCATTTTCTAATAGTAAAACACAGTATCTAAATTTCTAAAAGGGAAGATAATGTGAAGATCCCACCAGGAAGATAACTGACATCTGTGCCCCATCACATATACCTTTGCATAATAAAGGGTGTTCTGTCTTTACTCAGAATGACAGCAGACAAAAAAAATGAAGACAGTGCAACTGTACCATAGTTGGCACTGTCTGAGTATAACCCATAGTCTGAGTATAACCACTCATCTCTTGTGTTCTCCTGTTGTCTCTGGTGACACAGGTTTTGTAGAACTACAACACTATACAAACCCTGTAAACATAAAAGATGATGCAAGATACAAACACTGTCAATGGCTTTTTCTGGAAAAAGAAATCTCATAATTGTGCAAATACTCTGCATATGCTTTGCAGCATTTTCTTCTCTGTTACTGTTATTAGCACTAGTAATAGCAGTATTGCTGCTGCTTCTGGCAAACCCAGGCTCAAATTTCCAACTTCTAATTCAGTATAATCATTACTTACCTTCTGCTTTCTTCTTTCTTTGGTAATCATGATTCTTTTACTAGGAATTGAAACATTGACAAGAAAGGTGAATTTGTTTTTGCAGTCTATTTTTATATAAATTATTATAATCTAATATCCCAATTGCTTAGGCAGCATTTAATTATGTTCAGTGTTTTCACTGTTATTGGTGAACCTGTGCAATCAACTGAATGCATAACCTATAGCAGTGATGGTGAACCTTTTAGAGACTGAGTGCCCAAACTGCAACCCAAAACCCACTGGTATCCCAAAACTAGTATAGTCTTTCTCATATTTGAAAGCCAAACTAAATATGACAAGGGCAGTCATCTGTATTGTTTATGCTTCTGAATCCCTCCTGCCCCATTTTACAATAATGTTGCATAAATGAGGGGTGTTAAATACTACAACTTCCTCCATCTTACTACCTCATGTTCTGGTACAGTAGACATTTTGCTTAACCTTAGCTACTGTCTTCTATCCTAGAAGAGAGCCCAAGGGAGAATAACAGACCACAGTGAGTGAGGGGGGATTAAATTTGTTTCCTTTTGTACATCTTTTTTTATAAGATAGTGTCAAGACAAAATGAGTAAAAGATTTGCCATAAAATGGCTGCTAAAAGCCTGACTCTGTAAGAGCAGCTTCAGACTTAAAATGGGATTCTTTATCTGATCAGGAATCCATGTTACAAGTCTTAGTTCTCATGCACACCTTAGAAATGCTAAGTGACCTGTCCCAAAGGTCTTCTCTTTTTTGAGGGGAAGCACACCTAGGACATGCTAATGGTTTACTTGTCCTGAAGGTTCTTCTCTTTGTGTTGTCCCTATTGTTTTATTCTAATGTTCCTCTAGCATACTGTTTTCTTGATTCCCCCCCCTCCCCCCCCCCCCCCCTGTATGTAACTGAAAGCGTCTTGTACAGACTCCATCTTTGTAGTCCTTTCAGGGACTGCCTACATGCTGCATGTATTTCCTGTAAGCATTTTTTTAACTTGACAATATAAGCCCAGCTTGTGAACATGGCAGATATAAAAAAAAACTTAACATGGCTGCCTCTGTAACATTTATTTTTATTCTCACTGTGGGAAACCTGTCTGAACAATGCTACTTTGGGTGGAGAGTCATATGACTAAATACTTCCCATATAAAAACTATTTCTCACATGAAAACACATGCAGCAGAGAGGTTTTGACAGGGGCTTCTCTACATGAGGGGTTTAACCCACTGCTTACTGAGGCTTTTCCTTCCATTTTCAAAGCAAGAGAAAAAATGCATCCTTTATGCATTTTTCTAAATGCATCTTTATATTACCTACCTGCCCCCATGGTTTGTATTTCTCTTGTCTTTCTGTATATTATATTAACCAACTACAAGGTGGCATTGTGTCATATCTACAGTATAGCAGATGTGGGGGAATACACAAGCTTTTGTTTGGGCATGTTGCATTTAACATTTAATTCCAGACTTTCTGCACTCTTACACACACACACACACACACACACACACAGACTGGCATATATAGGAGATGCTCTGGAGGATGACTATGTTATAAAAGTCCTTACGAACTTCCCTAATTGAGGATTCACAAGAGCACCATAAATGTGAGTGCCTGCCTTTTTCTCACATGAGCCTGCACTTGCAGCCTGAAGAGGTAAAGTCCAGATCCAGATTTATCACCACCTGAATAAGGACTAGGCCTTACCAAAGACCAGTGTTCTGTGACCATAGTACTGGCTGAGGCCTGGAAAATTTGGATCACAGACTGAGGGGGGAAAGTCCAGCTCTCTCTGTTTCAAATCTCCTAGAACAAAGACCTGCTTTCTTATTATTTATTAAGGCATTTCTTACCCACTTTTTATTAAACAAAGTAACCCCAAAGTTGGGTTAAGCAATAAAACACCATAAATTAGTATATCATTGATTTTAAAAAGTAACAAACAGCATCTTTTAAGAGCAAGCACAATAGGCAGAAATTGAAAGAGGCTGGGCATTTTACCACCTCATGACCATGTTGGCATGAGGAGAAAGAGTGTTTTTTTCCTGTCATGGAACTATCAGCACGGGGTGGGGGGTGGGGGCAGAGCTATAAAACAAACTGTAATAATAAAATAACAGAAACGCTGCCAGGTAAGACGGTGACAGCCTAAAGTTCAAAGTATTATTCTTGTTCAGCTCTGCCTCACACCTGGTGGAGGGATCGTTTTGTAAAACCTTCTTACTGAGGGAAGCAACCTCCATGCTACTAACACGGCAGCAAGCCCTCAGGAGGCTCTTTTTGCATCACTCACCGAGAGCCACCAACCCAGTTCATTTTCTCTCTGCAGAAATTATTTTGCTCTGGTGGTTTGCTGAAGCCACCCTCGCAGGTGGGCCACAAGCAGAGGAGAAACCTCTTCTACCCAAAGAAAGGCCAAGCCACTGAGAGGAACTTTCACCAAAAGGAGGCCCCTCAAGCCACCAGAAGCCACTGTGGTACATGCCCCAATCCCACGCCCCAAGGCCTTGCTGGAGCTCTCCATAGAGGCTAGTTCAGCCATTGAATAAGTTGCAAAAAGCAAACCAACCAACGAACAAAAAGGGTGTGGAAGAAGATTAAATAGGCTAGAATAGCTGGTGAAGCATTGGATGGCCTGTCTTCACTCCTTTCCTAGCCTTCACAAACAATTTTGCACTCTTCTTCATTCCTTCTTATCTTCACATGCATGGCCTTCAGGCACACACATTTAAAAGGTGTTACTATCCCATTGCATTTATAGCCTTTCTTCCTCTTGCAAGGCTTACAAGTCCTTTCCCCCTCCATTTTATCTTCACAACATCCCTATGAGGTAGGTTATATTGAGAGCCTGTAACTGGCCCCAAATCTCCCAATGAATTTTATGGTCAAGTAAGAAGTAAAACCCATTTCTCCCAAGTCCCAATCTAATACACCAAACCGGCTGTCTATATGCTTTAGGTCCCTGTATTGTATAGAAAATAGCATCACTGTCATTTTTTTCATCCCATTATTTGGGGTACCTGGACAAATCCACAAAGGTCTGGTCAGTAGCCTGGTCCTCAGAGCTTTGAATATGTCAATTTATTTACCTAAGGTTGCCAAGAACCATGATGTTTTCTCATTCTCTCGGGACAAGTGTCCCCAAAGGTCACAGAAAGTGAAACAAGCCAGTTCCTCATTTTTTCATTGCAGCAACCTTGAACACAGCTATTTTAAAATCAACTGGTAGAGTGAAAAAAGATGTTTTCATAACTTAGCCTTATGTGTTCCATATGTGGATTACCTGTAAACGACCTTATCACTGTGCCATAATCCTACCTGGTGGAAATTTTGATCTATATGAGTGCCTGTATTATACCATGAGAGCGTTATTTCTCAGACAGGCCGATGCAGACTACAAATAAGGATGTAGTCCTGTTTATAGGGCAGGAGGGATATTTGGTTTGGGAAGCCCTGCTTTCACTCACACTCTTGCAGTTGGCCATGCTGCCTCTGTTGTGATGTCTCTCTCAGGTGCCTTTCCTCAGCAACACAGCTCCCCTTACAATTGTCATTGCCCTTGGGCCCTCATTTGAAAATGTGCCTGCAGATGTGCCCAAAGCTGTTACGGAAAACTGCTTAAGCAGCAATATTCAAGGACTCCCTGCCCACACTATGGATGCTTCTGGTTGAGGGTGAAAAACAGTGGGTATAGTATGGATACTAGATCTTCCTAGGCCGTGTGCATGAAATTTCTTTCTGGATCTTTTAAAATCCATTCCATGCATTATTGTTTTTTTCATCACTTCCAAGTAGCTGGATGTGGCATACTTGCTTTTTCTTCCTTGGGTATATTCTCACAGCTCTCCTATGCTACTCCTACGTTTCAAGCTAATCTTGCAAATACATTTTGAAAAGGATGTCTTCCTTTCCAATGTTTAATTTCCCAAAACAAGATGATCTAAGGCCTACATCTGCCTAATATCAAGCTCCTTAACTTTAGCATCCCTTTAGCCATAATTCTGGTCCAGATATGGGAACTGGTTGTGGTCGTTAACAGAATGAAGGAAAGGAAAGTGATACAACATACTTATATTGATGATTTCATGAACAAAGAGGGAGTCAGTGTTAGGCTAATGCTTTAACACTGAAAACAATTCTGATAAAGATGCAAATATAGATCTATAAAAGTATTCCATGGTTGCATTAACCAAACTCTGGCCTGGAACTGTCCCAGATTCTGTCCTTCTATATTTACAGCAAAACACGTAGTTGAATCCTATGAGCTAGGATGGATACAAGATATGGTTATTATGGATATGTACTATCCTGACAGACTGCATGTATACTCGGGAGTAAATTTCCTGGCATTTAATGGTGCTTACTCTCAAGTAGGCAAACTCAGGATTTCAACATGTGAGGCATTCTTTCTTATTTCTTTGTATATGTCAGGACTGAGTACTTTCACCAGAAGCCCCGGTTCAGTGAAGACTTGTCCCTTCCAGCAGAAATATATTGCAATACCAGTAAAGCTGAATCTTCCAGCTATGGCAGAATGTCAGGATTTATTCTAGCCAACAGTGGCTGGTGGCTCTAGGGTCAGTGTTGTGTTGTATCCACTCCAGGTTCCAGTCTGAAATTTAAAATAGATATCTACAGAGTTGAACCTACACAGCCCCACTGACATTTGAGCCAACAGTAACCACTGATTCTAGCCAGAATTCTTTATTTCTATCTTATTTGCTGTCTTCCATTCTTTGGCATGCTTTACAAATAGCTGAGAAAGAAGGGAAGCGAAAGGCAAGAGAGAAAGAGAAAAATACACCCAATTGAATGCAGAATTCCAGAGAATAGCTAGAAGAGATAAGAATGCCTTCTTAAATGAACAGTGCAAAGAAAGAGAAGAAAACAATAGAATAGGGACGACCAGAGATCTCTTCAAGAAAATTGGAGATATGAAGGGAACAAAGATGGGCATGCTAAAGGACCAAAATGGCAGGGACCTAACAGAGGCAGAAGAGGTGGCAAGATTACACAGAAGAATTATACAAGAAAGAGCTTAACGTCCCTGATAAACTTGGAAATTTTCAAGATCCAGAGTTTAGTGACTGTTTTGGGGTGGATGAGGGAAAAAGGTGAGGCTTAATTCAAACAAGATAGACAGAGCTACTCGAGATATAGAAAACAACCTATTTGGACTGAAGATTATCTGGTCTTAAATGGGATTGCATTCCCACTGAAAGACCAGGTATGAAGTTTAGGGGTTGTCCTCAGTGCTCACTAGGGAAGTTCAGGTGGTGGCAGTGACCAGGAGGATTTTGTATCAGCTTAGGATAGAATGCCAGTTGTGACCCTGTCTTGAGAGGGCTGATCTTGCTGTGGTTATAGTAGCGAGGCCAGGATAGTGTAATTCAGGGCTGTCTTCAAATTGGTTAAAAATTTCAGCTGGTCCAGAATAGGGCTTCCTGGGTATTGGTGGGGACTTGGTAGCTGGCTAATGTGACACCAGTATGGCATCAACTAGATCATTCCATCTTATCATATCACTGAATTCCCACTTTGGCATCTGTACTGGTTCTGTCTATGGACCTTAGGCTGGGTCTTATTCATCAAGAGCTTGTTTTATATCTATGGAATGTCATGACATGACATCACTTTAATAAGGGTTTGTCTAATTTGGCTAACTGTTGTTGATGCAATGCAACTAATGCGTCTTTCAAATATATATTTTGTCAATGTCCGTGGTTGCTTCTTTTTGGGAGGAGGTTTTGCTACAGATACATTTTGAACAGGAACAGTCTTGGATATTTGTGAATGTCCATGCTCATTTAAATTACCAACCAGCTTCTTGGAAACTTTAGTGTACATGGATTTTCCATAAATGTTCACTTCCTAAAATGATCAGGATCTTACAGCACTTTCAAATATTTGAAAGGGTGGGTATACAGATCCCACCTTTGAACGGATATTTATTTATTTATTTATTTATTAAAACATTTCTATGCCACCCCTTGCCGAAGCCTCGGGGCAGCTCACAACATAGAATAAAATACACAATAAATTAAAACAATAACAATTAAAATATATACATTAGAATAAAATAAGCCACCCTGGCCAAATAAAATTCAGTAATATTAACATTTAAAATGCTGCTTAAATAAAAAGGTCTTTGCCTGGCACCGAAAAACAAATAATGACGGCGCCAGGCGGACCTCTCTGGGGAGTGCATTCCATAACTTGGGCACCACCACTGAGAAAGCCCTCCTCCGAGTAACCACCCTCCTAATTTCCTTCACTGAGGGCTCCCGGAGGAGGGCCTCTCCCGCTGATCTCAGGGGGCGGCTGGGCATATATGGACGTAAGCGCTCCTTCAGGTAACCAGGACCCAAGCCGTTTAGGGCTTTATAGGTCATCACCAACACCTTGAATTGGGCCCGGACTTCAATGGGAAGCCAGTGAAGCTGCTGGAGAACTGGAGTCATGTGAACATAACGTCCAGTTCCCGTCAGCAGCCTGGCAGCTCTATTTTGAACCAATTGAAGTATCCGGACCGTCTTCAAGGGTAGCCCCACGTAGAGCGTGTTACAGAAGTCAAGACGAGAAGTCACCAGTGCATGAGTCACTGTTGCGAGGCAGTCGTACTCCAGATAGGGGCGCAGCTGATGAATCAGCCGAAGCTGGAGGAAAGCGCTCCTCGCCGCTGCTGTTATTATTATTATTTTTTATTATTATAACATTTCTATGCCGCCCCTTGCCGAAACCTCGGGGCGGCTTACAACATGATAAAATACATTGAAATACAATAGTACATAATAAATTACCATTAAATATAAAAATACAAAAGATACATTGATTTACAAATACAAAATTAAAATTATCAGTATAAAATAAAAATATAGGATGAGAAAGAGAAGGAAGAAGAAGTTGCCCAGGCCAGATCATATGTTTTAACAATTGAAATGATGTTTAAATAAAAAGGTCTTTACCTGGCGCCGAAAAACCAGTAACGACGGTGCCAGGCGGACCTCTTTGGGGAGTGAATTCCATAGGTTGGGCGCCACCGCAGAGAAAGCCCTCCTCCGGGTACTTACTCTCCTAATTTCTTTCATGGAGGGTTCCCAGAGAAGGGACCCTCCTGCAGATCTCAAAGGGTGGTCGGGCATATACGGACGTAAGCGCTCGTTCAGGTAGCCAGGACCCAAGCCGTGAACTTCGAGTGAAAGCTCCGGGTCGAGGAGCACTCCCAAGCTGCGGACCTTATCCCTAGGAGGGAGTGCAACCCCATTCAGGACAAGGTTCAATTCACCTTCTCCGAAACCCGATCCGCCAACCAACAG